TCTTTACTGGATGCCTGTTGCATGCCAGGAATTTTGTCAAGTTGTAAGGCAGTAAAATGTGATCAAGACTCAGTCACTATTTTTGAGTTGTTTATATCTAGTGGGAAGACAGACAGGAAAACAATTGGTTGAAATGCTAGGTGATGAGCATTATTGCAAAAGAATGCAAACATGACTGCTTCTTGGCCTTTTGGCTAAGATCAAGTGTAAGAATGAAAAAATATCATGAGTGCACAGGGGAGGTAAAGACAAAGTGCATAGGTAATTAAGAGTACCTATATGGACAAAGGCTGGGATAGCATTCCAGGAGAAGAGGGCTTGTTTCTAGTAACTGAAAATAGACAGTTGGAGCACGATGGGGGAAGACCTAATAGAGAAGGTACTTAAAGTAGACTGAGTCCATAACATCAACAGCCTTATATGTTATGACAATTTATTCTATGAGACAGTAGCTCTCTGTCTTTAAAGACTTGTTAAAAGACAGATCCTTGGCCTCACTATCAGAAATTTTAATTCAATTGGTCTAGATCCAAGGATTAGAATTTTTAATAAGTGCTCCAGGTGATTTGCTGAAGGTAGACAGTAGGTCACATGTTGAAAAAGTTCTAGAGGAGATTGGAGACTTCTGAAGCAATGGGAGAAGGTAAAGGCTTGGATTTAGGGGAGAAAGGATGAGAAGAGGAAAAACCATAGATGCTACAGAGAAGAAGCAGTCACAGGTGGAAGCTTTGACCATAATACCTAGCACACAGTTGTTTAGTATCTTATAATTGACACTAAATATTCAGTAGTGTCATTGTTGTCTTGTTGAATCTTGAAAGGGCAAATACATGAAGAAATTTACTCCCACTTGAATCTGATCTCTGAGTTTTAGGATTGGGGTTCTAAAAGGAAACAAATATCCCACTTGTAGGGCCAGGCCATACCAGCATGCAACCATTCTCTCCTTGGTAATTATGTACAAATATCAGAAATATCTAAATATCCAAAATGGACTTGGATATGTGTATTATTTTAGCTGGATTATGAGCATGTGGAAAGTTTATGACATTTTTCTTCTAAGACTGTAAAACTTGGACTAGAGCTTAGACAAAACTTGGATAAACTTAAGAAGCTGCTTACTCTGTGTTGTTATTCCCTTGTCTACTCAGCCCTGATTTACACAGAATGCAGAGCATAAGAGAGGCCTGTGGTCAGAGCAGACACCTGGAGACAGGAGCTGGCATACCAGTACCTTCCTTAGAATTTGGGCTGGAGTGAATTCTGTCAGATCCTAATCGTATCCAATGTCCATCGGGGCTTTTATTGTTTTTCTTTGGTACATTCTCCTGCACAGCACAAACACATAGATATTTTGGTAGTCTGGAAGTGCAAAGTGTTTTATTTCTAATGTTTTGTTGAATTATTTCAGAAAACATTTTGGTTGAAAGGAGAAACCAGACTATGAACCTGTTTTTTTTGCCATATACTAGTAGAAGAGAGTTTGGCTTAAATTTTGGTCCTGGGTCCTTTCTACTCTTGACTGTGAGGTATTTGGTGAGGTAGAGAGAGCACTGAATGGGAATGAGTTATGTTACCTGAAAAACACTTTGTTATTAGTTAGCAATGTAACTTGAGCTCAAGTCACTCCTCTCCTTAAGTCTGTGATAAATTAGTTTCTCTGGGAAATAGACCCTTAGTCTCTGAGTTTTGGGTCTAGGAAGTTAATGGGGTATATTCACAGTACCTTATGAGAAGTGAGGGATGCAAGATTGGAGAAAGAGGGCTGGAGATATAGCTCAGTGGTGTACTTCCTAGCCATGTGCAAGGTTCTGGGTTTGGCGCCCAGCACTACCAATAAACACATAAATAATAAATAACTATTGGACAAAGGATGAATTTGAGGTGCAATGTGGTTGGGTTCTCAGGATTGTCCACTTAAGGCAAGGGGGACAGCTTTTATATCTATTCCCTTCCCACTGCATTAACCAGTGAATGAAAGCTGTACACTGATAGGGGTGTGACTTGGGAAAGGCAGCTCTTTTCCAAGGAAACCAATTCTTAGGGAGGGATCACAGAAAACTCAGTTCTGCAAGTGGGAGGATATGAACAGCAAACCATAGTATCTATTACAGTTCCTTAGTTTCACCCTCAATGATGTGTTTGAGTTGAGCCAGACAGTATCTGTATCAGTTATCTATTGTCACAATAAAGCCATGTAATGAAGACCTTCAAACCTCAGTGGTAAACTAGGGGCTGGTGGTTCCTGTCTGTAATCCTAGCTACTCAGGAGGCAGAAATCAGGAGGATCCCGGTTCGAAGCCAGCCTAGGCAAATAGTTTGCGTGACCCTATCTCGAAAATACCCAAAACAAAACAGGGCTAGTGGAATGGCTCAAGTGGTAGAGTGCCTGCCTAGTAAGCATGAGGCCCTGAGTTCAAACCCCAGTACCACACATACACAAAACCAACCTCAGTGGTATATAACAACAATATTTATTTGTTCAGGAGTTAGTAGGGCTCAGCTCATCTAGGCTGAGCTTGGTTAGGTTTGCTTATTTGTCTAAGTGGTTCTGCTGATCTTGGCTGGTTTTACACACACATATATTGGAGTCAACTGACTGTCAGATGATCCAGGACAATGTTACATGGGATGAGACCAGGATAAGTTGTTTAGAGTTACTCTAGGAGGCTAGAGTGCACACACAGGTTCTCATGGCAATGGCAGAGGAAAGATTCATCTAAATTTGTAGAGTTGTTTTTAGCCTCTGCTCTGTCATTTGTGCTAACATCCCACTGAAGAAAGTAAGAGATACTTACTTTCATATACGCCGAGATGAGCTCAAAATCAAGAGTTGAGACAGCTCAGCCCATTCATCACAACACAGTGCAGTTACTGAGCTAGGGAATAAGTATAGGGAGGGTGAAGAATCGGGGCAATTTGAAATCTGCTCTACTCACCTTCCTTCCATCAGTGGTTTTTGTGACTTTATTGGTTAGATGCTAATAGTCTCGTTTTGATTCTAATTAGTAACTTGAACTCTGTCCAAGCATCCAGTACAGAACCAACTCCAAATACTAGTGAATGAGCAAAACCAAAATTGAATATATTGAACATTGTAATTTCTAGGTGCAAGATTAAATTAGATTTGTAAAGGTTTAGAATCTGAATATTAATTGTTAGGGACAATTTTGAAACTCAGAGTTTTTTCCTTTTAATTTTTTTTATTATTGTGGTGGGGGTACATTGTGGCATTTACAAAAGTTCTTACAATATATCAAATGTATCATAGTTGAATTCATCCCCTCCATCATTCTCCTTTATCTCCCCTTCCTCCATTCCTGGAATAGTGTCAACAGGTGTCATTTTTCCATTTACATACATGTGTACATGGTGTTTTTGTGTTGTGTATTTTTGAAATAGGATCTCATGAACTACTCCCTCAGGCTGGCCTTAAACTGCGATCATCCTGATCTCTACCTCCTGAGTAGCTAGGATTATAGGCAAGAGACACTGTTGTCTGGCCATATCACTTTTCACTTTGCAGACAGTGCATAGTCTTCATATGAGTTCTCAGCAACTATGTCTGAGGCCCACCTCCATGAAGCTCTGTTACAATTTGGGGGAAGAAAATAGAGATATTCTATCTCTTCTCATTTTGATTTATTTTGGAGAAATCAAGCTCCTCGTTCATAATCTTTCAACTATCCTAATCAAATAAACCAAAGAAATAGTTAAATTACAATCATCACTTTTTTATCAGTAAGGAGAATATATATTGTACTCAGCCATAACCTCTTATCTTCAAAATTGTGGTTGTTTTTATTGTAGTCTAGTACTATTCACTGGTATCAGTGTTGATAACTGATGGACTCTCTTTGCTAATATTCCTGCTGTCACATCTTTTTCTAATGTCAATTTTTCACATTTGTTCATAATATAGGGGATTAGTCTGATGATAAGAATTTAGGGAGGGTTGAGGAGTCACTGTGATCTGTTTGAGAGGGAAGAAGTAAATAGATGACGTTTAACTTATGCTGGGGGTAAGTCCTGCCAGACCCCTTGTAAATTGAAAATATTCTGTGTCAAAATGCATTTCATAACCCTAAGCTACCGATAGGCTTAGCATCATTCTCCCTCCCTCAGTTGTTTGCCACATTACTGCATCACTACCTGGGAGCAGTGCTCAGTGCTGCCGAGGGAGTACTTGGAAAGGATCCAAGTTCAAAATTCAAGTACAGTTTCTACTAAATCTGAAGCACTTTCACACCATCATAAAGTTGAAAAATCATTAAGTTAAACCATCATAAGTTAGGGACAGTCTGTAAAGCTGTCTTGTCCTTGGAAATGCTACCATGCTTTCTAGACATAGAATCTTCATGTAAAGCTATGGATACCTAGATTTCCATGTTTCTCACGAGCGTAGTGACAACTTCAGGAACAATTTGAATTATATTGATTTTTTTTCTCGAGTTTGGTGACTGAAAAATTATATAATGGTTAAAGATTTCCTTAAACTCGCATTTTGTTGGAAATTTTGTTCACTTACAAAATTTGGATTATGAATAGATTGACTTCTTTTGGAGCCAAAAGGAAACTGTGACTAGGTTTGAACAGAGATTTTTCATTTATCTCTATAGCTATGATATGTTCACTGAATTCCAGAGTTAATTTTATACTAAAAATGAGGAACAGACACAAGTTTCAGAGTCAGAATTATGTATAATGGAAAAAAAACTGAAGTACCTGAAGACTAACTTCCTGAAAGAGTCAGCAGTCTTCCTTCAGAAAGACTCAGCAGCCTTTTTCTCACTTCTCCTTCAGATTTACTATGAACAGGGCAATGGCTTTCAAAATTTGTTTATTAAGTTCTATATTCCAGAACCTTTGTACACAATCCAAGTTGGATATATAAAACTAATGAAGACCAGTCTAATTAGAACCAGAGACTTCACTCTTTCTTATGCTACTGATTTCTGTATTGACACACCCATATTTATTCACCTTTCGTTTTCCTTAAGATAATGAGAAACCTATGCGCGTGGTAGATGATGAAGACTTGGTAGACCAGCATCTCATCAGCGAGCTGAGAAAAGAGTATGGAATGACCTACAATGAGTTCTTCATGGTGCTGACAGATGTAGATCTGAGAGTCAAGGTACAGGGTCTTGTCATGGATGATGAAATGCGATTTCCTAGAATAGCAACTATGATTTCTTGTTTTGGGTCAATAAGTTCATCAGGTGTATGAGTAAGCACAAAATTTTTCATAAGTGGAAAGGTTTTGAAATGTCTAAGCATTTCAAGTTGTCCTTTGAATTTGCATGCAGAAATATTCTCTCCAAAAAAGACTGGGTTGAACTGATATCCAAAAACCCACTTATTTGACTTAGACTAATTTCTCCTCTAACATCAATGTGCATTCATCATTTACCGAATAGCTGTAATACTCCAAACCCTTGAGATAAAAGGTGAAGAGTAGCTCTTTCTCCAAGAAACTCATATTTAACATAGGCCACTTTTGGGAGGATCTGGAAGTTTACCTCCTGATCCAACAGTGAAAAGAGTATAGGATTTCACACCTACTTTCTTCCTGTGTTTTGGGACAAAGTTTCTGAGCCATGAAAAACTGTACTATGAAGTTGTAATAATAATAACAAACAAAAATAGTAACTTAATCAAGTGTTTTCCTTATGCCAGGCATTCTGCTTCACCCTTTGCAATCCTTATCTAAAACTTCAAAGATAAATTACTAGTATTTTTGTTTTGCAGAGAAAAATACAGGCCCAAAATTAATAAGCAACTTGCCCAAGTTTACCCAGTTGGTGTTGGACTTCATACCTGAAGAGGCTGTCGCCACAGTCCACTGTCTTGATCATTCTAGTATACTGACAGTACACCATGAATATCTTTAGGAGAATCTTTAAGAAAAAAAGGCTGTGTTGGCTATAAGAACAGTGAACTTGGCTTACAGTGGTTTTTCCTTTTTTTGGATCTGGAGAGAGATCTCTTCATTAAGTCATTCTGCATGTGTTGTCCCATCTCTAACGTGGGAGGTTGGGTCAGATAATCTTTAATGTGAATTCCCACTGGGGACACAGTTCCAAGCCACATTCAGCTTGCTCTCCAGCTTATGTAGGCTCTGCTCAGCAGACCCCAATCCATCTTGGGTTGCTTTTGTAAATCCAGACAGCTATCATGGTCCAGGAAACTGAATTTCATTATCCTTAAGTTAGATCCCAACTTGTTCCTGAGCAAGAATGATCTAATATTAAGTGAGGCTCACTCAACAAACAACCCCTGGAGCCACAGAACAGGGCTGGGTGGAAAACTACCTTTGTTGCTCAGTTCACAGGCTCAAACATGCCATGCCGTTGGTTTTCCTGTGCTAGGATAATGTGTTTTACTTTTCTGGTAGTGTAGCATACAGGAACCAGCTTAGTACCAACATTAGAAAAGTAGACTGAGGATCCGTATGGTGAGGAAGACATGGGTCCTTTCCAATAAAAGGGTTGCAGCTAAGAAGAATTCCTTGAAAAATGGCAAATGCTTCATGGATTCTGAATCTCAAAACATCAGCAGGACAGCATTTGTAAATCAACGTATCCTCCAGGCTCTGACGATTTGCCCAGAGCTCCCCTGAATTCTTCTAGATCTTCTCTCATCTGCACAGAGGGAAGAAATGCACTAATACATTTCCTGTATTGTATGCTTTCTTACCAGCAATATTATGAGGTGCCCATAGCAATGAAGTCTGTGTTTGATCTGATCGATACTTTCCAGTCCCGAATCAAAGATATGGAGAAGCAGAAGAAGGAGGGCATTGTGTGCAAGGAGGATAAGAAGCAGTCCCTGGAGAACTTCCTATCCAGGTATGTCATCTTTGCACTCCTAGAAAAGACAGGTGCAAATTTGTTCTGAGTGAGCTAGTGAAAATGACAAAAACACACAGAGCTGTACATGTGCTCACAGAGTGACATCTCACTCAAAGAGCCTGTCCAATTCACAGCAGTCTGGCTACTGGGTTTAGTCCTGTCCTACTGGAATTGGTCCTGGTTGCAAGTCTGGCTAGGTTTAACTCCAAGTATGAATGTCATCTGCTGGTTTGTTTCTGTTTTGTTTGGTTTTTGGGGCAGTACGGGGGTTTTGAACTCTGGGCTTCATACTTGCTAGGCAGTCACTCTAGCCTAGTCAATTGAACCATGCCTGGAGCCCTTTTTTACTTTAGTTATTTGTAAGATAGGGTCTCTCACTTTTTGCCCTAGCTGGCCTCAGACTCAACCTTTTACCTACACCTCTTGTATAGCTGGGATTACAACCACATACATGACCACCATGCCTGGCTTGTTTGTTGCCATGTGGGTCTCACTAACTTTTTCCTTGGGCTGGCATTTTATCTCCACCTTCAGAGTAGCTGGCATTACAGTTGTGTTCCACCACACCTGGTCTAATTTGGTCATTTTGGACAGATCTTTTCCTCTTTTCTGTTCCTTTTAAATTTTTTTTGGTGCAGAATATAGAATTCTGAACTTCTATGAGAATTAATTTATCCAGTCAGTGACTTTAGAATTGTCTATATAGTATTTTTATTTTACATAGGCATTTATTGGTTCTCTTCTAGTTTCAAACAGGATTTACCACACTGCTTGATTTTCTGCTTCCTTACAACTCTTCAGAAGGAGAAATTCTCCTAACACAGCTCCTTGATTTGCTGGGCAATATTGTTTATTGAAATCAGTTCACAGCAACCTCAGTGCCCTTAGTGGAGGAAAAACTCAGAAGAGAGTAGAAAAATCCAATTTCCTCCCATCTTCATTCCTTCAGCAATGTTGGAGGAAAATTCTACAGGGACTTTGGAGCCCTAGGAAGTACAAAACTCAGAAATATATCCACAACAAACAAGCTCATAGAGACTTACTATAACACCACCCCAACTGCACTTTGTGGCAAAGGGCTCAGTGTTAAATATACATCACACAGTCAGAACCCTTCCTTGTCTAGAAAAGCACATTCTCCACATGTAAGTCAGAGGCTCAAGAATTAAATGATTAGTAAGTAGAAAATCTGAATTCCTTCCTCAGGAGGCCTGAGGTTCTTAGGACATAAGATGATATCTAAAGAACATAGGATTTATCACTCTTCTAAGTTTCCAGTCTGCAACTTTTTAGCTATGTTGACGCTGTACTTTCCAATTAGCCTGTTTTAAAAATCTCTCGGCCATAAAATGAAAACATTGGTAGCAAGTAGCTCTTTCTCCATCCCAAGGGTTGCTGTGATCACTTTTTGTGTGTTCATCTCTGTGTCAAGCACTTGACCTTCATTCCCTAATTTAGTACTCATGACAATCCATAGCCTAAATACTGTAATATTCTTAAATTACAAGTGAGGCGAATGGAGATTAAGCAATTTTCTCACGCTAAGCTAGTGTCAGTGGCTCCAGAACAATCCAATTCTCAAAGTCTACCGTCTTATGCTCTTTGAAAATACAATGGGAATAATGTTTGAACGTGCTTAAAAACCTAGTAATCGTGTGGCTCAAGTGGTAATGGGCACCTTCATACCAAGCTCAAGGCCCTGAGTTCAAACCTCACCATTGAGGAGGGGACTTGTATCTTTAGTCATGTTTCCAAACGTTTGTACGGTAATTAGACGAAATTCTCTGCTTCTTCTTGAGTCAATTTTTTGAAATTTTTTTATTGTGGTGAAATATAATAAAATAAAACTTACCAACTTAAGCAAAAAAAAAAACCTAGTAATCAAACAGCTTCATCATTCACATAGCTATTATACATTTAATATATTTCTTTTAATTATTTGAAATAAACAACAAATCTGTTCTGAGTATTTAAACAATTCCTAAGTTCAATAAGTCAATATTACAAACACAGTGAATCTAAAGTTCTTTCAGATGTTCCAAAAACTACATTCACTAAGATTTCACCTTAAAAACCACATTTTTAAGCCAATTATTCGACTACATGTTCTAATTTGGAATTTTAAGATTGTCATTTAATAGGCCAAGTTCTTCTTAAGTTTCATAAGATCATAAATTGTATATATATATATATAAAACTAGACTCTTTCTTAAATAAATATATTATTACCATGATTTTGATTTTTTGGAAACATTTTCTTCTTAATTCTGAACCTTCCAGGATTAAAAGATGCATACCCACTGAGCCATCCCAGTAAATACAGGTTGCCAACCCTCTAAAATAGATAGCTACCATCTGATTCATTGATGTTACTCAACACCAGGGATTTAGGTGTTAAGTAATTCTTCTCACCTTACCAGGGAGAGTGTGTTTGTATAATCATTTTGTCAGAGATTTCAGAATTTAAAGGGAAAACCTGACATTTTAATTTTGTTCACTCACTAAAGCTTACAGTACTATACAAATATTTTGCATCTAAAAATCTTTTGAAATATGTAGGGTCCTAAGACATGCAAATGTATTTTCCATCTAATATAAGAGCTTTGTGGGTTCTTATAGTCATTACTGTTTCAGGAACATATATCCAATAAGACTATTAAGATTGGGAGATGATTACAATTTAGACATCTCATGGTTGTACCTGACTTATGGTCATAACTCATGAAATCATTATACTGATAATTATCATTGATCTTAAAAGTTAAAATGGAATAGTGTATTCCTTAAAGGCAGGAGTAAGAAGTAAGAGAGCTTTGATTTCGAATTCTGGTTTTTCCATTTATTGATTGTGTGAGCTCTGGCTAACCACCTAACAACTCTGGGCTTCTGTTTTCTCATGTGCAAAGATTATTGTGAGGGGGCAATTCAACACTAAAAGTAATGATGGCTCAGGACCTAACACAAAGTATGTCATCAGTGAGTGCTGCCTCTTAATGTTACGATCAGTTAGTCAGGTTTATTAGAGAGCTTTATTATCCAAGGGTAGGGGAGAGAGCTTTAGTAAACAGTTCAGAATTGAAAATCAGGCAAAGAGAACGGGTGGGGGGATGCGGGGCTGTGGAGGGGGGGGGGCGCAGTTCTATGAATAAACCAGTATCTAAGTGGGAATTTTCCTTCAAATTTGCTGAGTTGTTGGTAGGTCTGCACAGCCTGGTTTCAGCTGACCAGACTCTGAAGCCACTCTGGTCTTTAGCAATGGTCATTTGCTGCAGGCTATAATTACCTCTCCCTGAGACAGAAGACCCAAAGAGTGGGCCAGTGCACTCTAATTTGGGGATGCCAGTTAAGAGAAGCAAACACATGCATAACTTGTAGGGTTTTTATTTACTGAAAAGCTAAAGTGACAGAAAACAATTTGCCCCAAATGAGGTTCTGTGTCAGGTTCCACATCTCTTGTGACATGCTTTGGAAGTTATTTCCTTTAGGGTCTTGAGCTAGGGCCTTGTACCCTAATGTGAAGGTCTGAGGGAAGATGAACCATTACCTAGGGGAGATAACCTTCTTTCAGTTGTGTCTGGGACAATGAGAGTCAGATCCCACCCCTCTCTTCTCAGGATTGCATTCAGTGGTACACAGGTAAACAAGCCAAAATAGACCTCACTCAAAATAGTTCCCTTCAGGACACCCTAGGGCTCTGCTCTGTGTGAGGCCTGAGAGGCTAGCTTGGTTAGGATTCTGGCCACTGGCCAGTGCTGGTCTGGCACACTTCCTAAGGAAGCAGGGAAGTCCAGGAGACGGTGTTTGTGACCCAACAGCCATCACTGTTCCCTTTCCCAGAAACTTCGGACAGTCTCAGATACTTCTTTCCCTTCCTCTGTGCCAAACACATTCATCTCCCTATCCTCAGTGAAGATCATAGTTTTTCTTTCCTTTTGAAGAAAAATAAGCAGAGGAAGTGAATGTAATGTCACAGCAAGCAATTCTTGGCAAGCCTTGGAACAGACATCCATTCAGAGGTTGTATTTTATCAGACTATTGTTTTCTCTCATAAACCCAAACCACTGTTCCCTTAAGAGGCTATTTTCTCTGTTGAAAACACTCTTGTTCACTCTGGAGCTAGATGGGGCACAGGAGAAAAGCCACAATGAAATCTGCTGGCTGCCAGCTCAGTGAATTCCTAACATCTAATGGTTACCTGTAGGGCAACCTGCAGGAGGGAGTAAACCTCCTTCTCCAGCGAAGGGAGAGTATGAGACAATACCACACAGCTGTCCCTTGGATTCATGCTGTCTGTCTTTGTACCCTTCGGGGGATACTGGTGGCACCAGTCAGGGGAACAAATGGACCAGGAATCAGAGAAGATGGTATTTTGGTACCACTTAGATTTGCTACTGGGCAAGTTACTCATTTATTTAAGTCTCATTTTGTCTTCTGTAAAATGGAAAAAATAAGCCGTGCTCTCTCTGAGCTCCAGTGAGAACACTTCCTGTGCAGTGAAGGAGAGCTACAAAATGACATAAACACATCAGGGTTTAAATAAGTTATGGTATTATGATGGACAATGTCCATGATCTGTTAATGGACAAAGGTCTATAATTGAAAAGACTACAAACTAAGACATGATTGTCTGTGTCCATGTCATTGTGTGGGCACTCATACTGATGGGGTTTTGAGTTTAACTTTGGAAAACCCCTTTGAAGTACTGCTATTTTTGATTCCAGAAATAAGGAAAAACTGAGACTTTGGTGAACTGAGTGACATACTCAAGGACACCCAAAATGTATGGTGACAAAACTTAAACTAAATTTTCCTAGCTACAAGACAAAGGCTTCTGCTACCCTACCATAAGTAAAAACCAAGTTTACTACAGTATATTCTAAATGACTCAAGGTTTAGCAATTTTCCATTTCATGGGTCACTCTGTGCTGGCTCTTATTTAATGGGAAGGTAAATTTCAGAACTCGCATTCTTCAGTTCTTTTTTGAGATCTTTACTTCTGAGGCTACACTTTACCATCCAATTCTGGCTAGTCTTCATTACACCTGAGAACTTCATCTCACCCCAAGTGACCTCACCAGGCACAGTGATCACAGGCACATCATGCAAACAACAAAGTAGGCAAACTGTGAAGTGACAACAGAAAATGTGGCACTTGAGAGCCATGGGAGAGTTCTATGGGTCAATGGTTTCTATTTTGGGGATGGAAAAAACCACCAGGCAATGTTATTTTGCTTTCTTACACAAGTGTGGCCTTTTGCTTCTTTTCCAGGTTCCGATGGAGGAGGCGGTTGCTGGTGATCTCTGCTCCTAATGATGAAGACTGGGCTTATTCACAGCAGCTCTCCGCACTCAGTGGTCAGGCATGCAATTTTGGTGAGTGGGAAGCAACCTCATTTCTGCTTTCCCAGACCACTCTCCTCCTGGTCAATTCTAAAATGGAACATAGAAGCTTAGATCATCCAAATATTCTCCAGTTCAGACTGCAGATTCCTAAACACACACTCTATTTTATTGACTATAAAGTTGCTTTCAGAATGGAGCTGTAGTCAACTGTAGATTTTTTCAACATTTTTTCATTGAATTATATGAAAACATCTACTCTTGTACTTTTAATTATCTGTATTATTTGTCTTCATTTTTTAAAAAAACCCTTCATATAAAACTTAGATATTATCATTTACTTAGGTAATACTTGAGTTTTGTCTTATTATCAGATGCTTGTCTCCCTCTTTTTTCTTTCTTTCTTCTTTTTCTTTTTCTTTCTTTCCTTCCTTCTTTCTTTCTTTTCTTTTCTTTCTCTTCCTTCCTTCCTTTCCTTCTTTCTTTCTTTTTCTTTTTTTCTTTCTCTCTTTCTCTCTGGCAGTACTGGGGCTTGAACTCAGACTTACGGCACTTGAGTCTTACCCCCCAGGTTGGATGCTTCTTAAATATCACTTGCAAAATAGGAATGGCTTTTGGGAATGTATATGTCAATTGAAGCAGACCAGACTATGCTACACTTCCCTTTAAAAAAACTTTGATCTATATCTGGGCATCAAGAAGACAGCAAGATCCATTAAACAGAAATGCTTATTTTGTTTTTTGTTTGTTGTTTTGTTCTTTTTGAGACAGGGTCTTGCTATGTAGCCTAGGCTTGAACTCATGATCCTCTTGCCTCAGCTGTAGGAGTGATGGGATTACAAGTGTGTATGTACCACCACACCCAGTTTAGAACCTTACCTTTAAGCCAAGTTGGTCAGAGAGGAAAAAAAGTTTCCTTTTTTGTGTTGTAAATTGCTCAGTATTTTGAAAACTATATCCACTTTACTTACTGAACATTATTCCAGTAGGCTGAAAGAGCTCGTATTATTTTAATGTGGCCATATAGACAGCAAAATGCATAGTACATAGAACTTACTACTAAGTTCAATGGTGAACCAAGATGTTGGCAAAAGTGGAAGTCACAACTGAAGTCTCAGATGAGCTATGCATCTGTAGGGGAGTATGCTGAGTAACTGGGGTTAGGGGAAAGGGGAAGTAGCTAAGGGCCATAGTCATTAGAACACAGATGAATTAGCATTATTTTGATACTTCTATTAGAATCATCCATTAGTTATAAAATGTACTTGATTTTAAAAAATAAAAGGAGTGAGCACTGGGGCATGGCTCAAGTGGTAGGGCGCTTGCTGGACAAGCACAGGCCCTGTGTTCAATCCCTAGTACCATAAATAAATAAATGAATGAATGAGTAAGGTAAGTAAATAAATAAAAGAGGTTGTGTATAAGTTTTGTGAAGCATTACCAGGGCCTGGTTTCTTATATGACTCAGTTCCTGAAAATTATTTTTCAATTTTAAAATGTAAAATAAAACAAAAGAGGGCAGAAAACAAGTTGAAAATAGTAAGAGTAATCATGAATTTTCATTTATACTCCTATCATCAGGGTTAGTAATTTTTTGTATCAACATACAGAATATTTGATTATGCTAACATTCTTAAGCAGATTTTAAATTCTTTATAGACATCATTGGCACTAGTTAAGACAGGAGTTCTTAAAGCAATTAATGGTTTATCACAATGAGAATATAAATGAAATCAAATCTAGGTTTGGTGGTTTATGACTGTAATCCCAGCAACTTGGGAGGCTGAGGCCTGAAGATGATGAATTCCAGGCCAGCCTGGGCAATATAGCAAGACTCTATCTGGAACACCTGCGCCCACCAAGCAATAAAATCATAGTCTATCAATTTGCTAAAGATGCCTTTGTAGCAGCTACTATGTGATGCTTTACTTTTAATTTCAGCAGAAAGCCTGTGTCGCATCAGCGTAAGCAAGCCCTTTGGTAACAACAGGAAATGTGAATGTCATGTTTTCCATGAATAATTAAGTTCATGAGTCTCCCTTCTGAAAATATGACTCATCAATATGAAGAACAGAATGCTTTACTTCTCTAGGAAAAGGGTGAAGGCAAAAATATCTTCTGGGGAATAGTATTCTGTCTCGATTGTAGCTCCTTCTTAAAAGAATCCTCCCATGGCAGCTTTTAATTTTCTCCCCTGGACAACAAACATCATCAAGTATCTTATTATTAGCTTCAAGTTATTACCCTGACGAGGCTCTTTGTCTTCCTATTTTCTTTCTCCTGAATTTGTGTGTATGCTTCATCTTCAAAAGAATTCCAACAAGCTACCAAGGCACAACCTTCCTACCTTCCCTCCTTTCCTGAAACTGTAGCTGAGGATGGGGCAGCAAGATGTGCCTGCCTGTGTTTCCTTGGGCCCTCTAAGTGATAAGACCTGCTAGTTACACCAACAACCTATTGTGTGGCTGCTTTTTAATAATCAGCATGGATGGTGTCTGTAGACTTTTCTCTCAGAAAAAGTTAAGTTGAAACTTCAGGCTTGACTTTTTTTGGGGGCGGGAGGAGGGCAGGACACCAATCATTGAACTTAGATCATCTCAGATATCATGATGTTTCAATTGTTTCTCTTTTTTTTGCACCTAATATTGAGAATCAGTTAAAGAGCAAATTCTTCTATTTTAGTCTACCAAAAATAAACCTGATTTTTTTAATCCTACAATCTGCAATTGATCTTTTATCTGGCTTTTAAAGTACTTTCTCTCTTTTGGAAGCATTTAAAAATAGATTGTCAATTATCAGGCCCTTGGAAGTAAAGGACATCTTCAAATCCTTTCCTCTAAATCAGACTATAATCCCAAGCACTCAGGAGGCAGAGGCAGTGGGACTGTGAGTTCAAAGGCCATCTGGGTTATACAGTGAGATCCTGTCTAAAAACAAAAAAAGAAAAAGGAAAAACAAAAATAGACAAGCAGGTGGGTGGGGTGGTGGTGAAAGCTATGGCTCAAGTGGTAGACTGCCTTCCTATCCTGCACAAGGCCCTGGATCCAATCTTCATTGCTGTGCACACACACACACACACACACACACACACACACACCCCACAGGTCCTCTCCTCTAACTTTGTGGCTTTCTTTTTTCTCTTAGGTCTGCGCCATATAACTGTATTGAAGCTTTTGGGTGTTGGAGAGGAAATTGGGGGAGTTTTAGAACTGTTCCCAATTAATGGTAATATGCTGCTATTTTAAAATGTATGAATTAGTGTTAAGTTGTTAAATTATATTAAACTATACACAAGCAATGGGTGTACCCCAAAAGTGAACAAGTTCATTGAGCCCTCCCTGACCTGGGATATGTTTGCATGTGTGTATGTGTGCAAACATGCTTGTGTGCATAGGGTGTGTGTAGGAGAAGAGGGTGCAAAGACTAATGTTATTTTTCATATAAAATCATTCAACTGATAGTAAAAATACCCATTTTCTTAACTAAAATTATGCTTAACAAAAAATATATGGCTTTATGGCCTCCAAAGCATTTTCTTTTATGTTATTTAATTTTCATAATAGTTTTATGAGGCACATAGGTCTTATCTCATTGATTCCCTTGCAACAGATAAGAAAATGCAATAAAAACCTCAGAGAAGCTGAAAGAAAGTAACTATTGACTGCAGGTTCCAGAAAGTAAATCCAGTCCTTCTTTCCAAGACCAAGCTCTTGAAATGAGATGTGTGGGAAAAACCTGGCACAGTGCCAGACAGAATAGAACCCCTCTCCCCTACCCCAGACAGTCTCAGCATCTTTTTGCCTCTTTCTTTTCATTCATCACAATAGTTTAGATACATTCATCTAGATCTTAACATAATTGGCATTTTCACATTTGGCAACAAAGTAAGCTTTTTATTATAAAGACAAATGTCAAAAGGAAAACTATAATGGCAAATAAGTAGGTAAGCTAGTTAGAATAAGCTTAGAATTATAAACAATATAATTATCTTCATTGATGATAAATTTTAAAGTAGATCTTGGTAGGATGAAATTAAAGGACTGGTTTTGTATTATGTAACATTTCTATAAGGAAATAAATCACCTTCTCTAAAGTTTGACACCAATAATGTTGCAGAACAACAGGGATATTTAGTTTCTGGTAGGGAAAAAAGTATACTTCTTTAATCGGATTTTGAGCAAAAGAAAACAGGTGCATGGGTATTCTCTATTCTCAGTGATCTCCTCTCCCTATGATACTTTTATGAGCTCTCACTCTTTAACCCACTAATAACTATTTCAATGCTATTCTAGGGAGCTCTACTGTGGAGCGAGAAGACATACCAGCCCATTTGGTGAAAGACATACGTAACTATTTTCAAGTGAGCCCAGAGTACTTCTCTATGCTTCTAGTCGGAAAAGATGGAAATGTCAAGTCCTGGTATCCTTCTCCTATGTGGTCTATGGTGATTGTGTATGATTTAATTGATTCGATGCAACTTCGGAGACAAGAAATGGCCATTCAGCAGTCACTGGGGATGCGCTGTCCAGAAGATGAGTATGCAGGCTATGGTTACCATAGTTACCATCAGGGATACCAGGATGGTTATCAGGATGACTACCGCCATCATGAAAGTTACCACCATGGATACCCTTACTGAAGAGGAATCTGTAACCTTAGCCCCAGCCATTTTCCCTGCAACTGCTAAAGCCACATGTGGCCAACTACATAAGGGAGTTCCATGCTGTCCACATTCCCTTTTTTTTCAGTGTTCTTCCAAGATCAAATAAATAGCAAACTTTCCCCTACTCAAGAGTTGTTTTTGAAAATTTAAATGATAAGAACATTTAAAAGAACTGTTTGTTTCTCTAACTAGTGGGGATCTGATACTAAATAATATACTGTAAATGGATCGTATTTCCCTTTTCTTACATAATGGATATTATATGGTACACAAAACTCTTTTATTTTTTATATTAATTGGTAAGTGAAAAGTCTGGCTAAGAAAATTAAGACACCAGGGCCAGGTGCTATGGCTCAATCTCTGCTACTGAGGAGGCAGAGATCAGGATGATTGTGGTTTGAGGCCATCCCAAACAAGAAGTTAGCAAGACTCCATGGTTGTGATCTCCACTACATGGGAGTCACAGCTAGGATGATTTCAGTTTGAAGCTGGCCCTAGGCAAAAATGTGAGACTCAATCTGAAAAAAAAACTAAAGCAAAAAAGGGCTAGGAGTGTGGCTTAAGTGGTAAAGTGTCTACCTAGCAAGTGAAAGGACCTGGGTTCAAACCCTAGCACTGCCAAAAAAAAAAAAAGAAAAAAAATTAAATATTACTGTATAAACATTTTCAGGAAGCATCTGGACAGAGAGAGAATAACAGCACTTTCTGAATGTCAGATTAAAAATATTTAAGATAGTTCTGCACTGTATGTATTTCTTGGAAGTTATGATATTGGCCATCAAAATGTCACATAAAAAGGTCATCGGACTTGGGAAAGCTAAGTGTTGGACCCTGAGGAAGTAGGAATAGTTATCTGAGTTCCTGTCTAACTCCATGACATTTATGATTCTTTTTTGGCATTTAGGGAGTAAAATGCTAAGTTCAGAGGCTTCCTGTGATAGAATTTATGTCACATTCTCAAAGACCTAGACTTGGTAGTTCAAAATCTAGTTCTACATTTTTGTGAGAATAAGAAAAGTATTAAATAACATTATTGAATTCTTTCCAGCATAGTGCACAGCTGTGGCTGACTCAATGGAATCATCACCTCTACTACACAGAACCCTTTATCATTTCATCACAGCCATGCTGGAGCTTCTAAGGGCACTCAAGTTGGCAGGACTGTCCTTCTAGTAAGGCATATACTTGTTTTTCAACAGTTTCCTAATGTGCTGACCACATATGCATCACCTAATATCCTGAAGCTTAGGCAAACCAGGCAGACCCTGGGCAGACTGCAGAGACCTTAAATATCAGCACTTTACTAAAGCTAAAGGATGGTAACCTATCTCCAATCCACAGACCAAGAGAGCTGGAAGAAGGAGTGGTAATTTTAAATAGCTAAAACTGACTCTGGGCAAAATGTTCTTGACTTTCCTCTTCTCCTATAAACATCCCTTTCTTCTCTCCTGAGCTCTTCTGGCTCTCAGATGGTAACAATTGATATATTTAACTAATATGCAAAGGGTGCCACTTCTTCCAAGGGTAAAAGGAGATTTGTGAAGATGGGGAGGAAGGGAATACATTGGCAAATGATTTTTGGAAGTTTTCCAGTCCCTGCTGAAAGCAACTCTCAATTCCCCCAAATGCTGGAGAAGTGGTGAAATTCTCCTGCAGCTTTCACCATCAGTTTGTCTCTGTTAGCCCTCTTTTCTATCTTTGGCTTGCATCTTGTCATGTACTATCTTCAGAGAGACAAGTTAGCACAAGGGTAGGCCCTGTTCTAACAATATACCCAAATTTGAGAAGACCTAGTCAGGAATAGATGGAAGCTTTGGTCTATGCAAAGAACCATCTGTCATTCCATTTCTTAATCCAGGATACTACCTTGAAGGTTAGATTCAAGTTATGATTATTCAAACACTACTTACATACACTAGCCTGCTAGAACGCAGGAATACAAAACTGGAGAAGACATTTTCCCATCCATACATAGCTCAGATTATCAGAGAACAGTCATGTACATAACTAATTATAAGACAGTATGTGTGTATAATTGATGTTGGGTCTTTATGGGGAGTAGAATAAGAGGAAGGGACCAGGAAGACATGATGAGTGATGATAGTTTTGCAGTCATCTGGAGACTAGAATTATTAAATTGCTCTTCCCTTCAGGCTCCATATGATTTCACAAGTGTCTTATTTTGGCTCCACCATCTCCACGGTCACTATTTAGCAGGCACAGCTCCTCCTAGGAATTTCTTACTTCTTTCAGCTTTGTCTGTGTGGAACTAGTATTAATTGATTCATAAAACCATTTTTCCCTTGAACTAAACCAAAATGAGCAAGAAGTATGAATTCATAAAAGAAAATTCATAAAAGAAAATCAAGGTGGAAACTAGGGAATACCTTAATTTATAGCATAACCTTTGAGAAATATGTGCTTATTTACCATTCTTGACATGGGGAAACCAGGCAGTTAGAAAGATAACTCACTCATAGTCCATGGCCCATACGTAAGGATCATATGTGGCTGAGATCTCAAAGATTGGAGACGTGGCCATGCACAGTATTTTCCTTTTGACCCACCCAGCTTAAGGAGAGAGGAGGTGTGGGGAGGGTTCATGGAGGATACGGTTTATAGTTTGAGTGAAAAAGCTCTATCTCTATCTCAGAATGTTTGGTTTTTGACTCTTGGCCAAGATAAGGACATTGGGATTTATGATGTGTTGTTTAAAGTCTGAATCTACCCTGTCTACCCTGGTGATTCCCAGCGTGTTTCTTCAATGATGGTTTCTAACTGGCATAACAGATTAAGTAAGTCTGACTGGTTCCATGGCCGAGAGGTATTTAAAACCCTGCTTAGAAATTTTACTTTGAGCTCTTTCAGAGTCAAGATTCCTAATACTGACCATGGCGGTTCAAGCTGGAGATAGTAGATAGTGTGGTCTGCGCATGCAAATAAGAGCCATGGAAAGTTTATGCATGGCCTGTCTCATAGACCTCCAATGTCTGCAGCCTCTTTTGCTTGCTATACTACATCCTTTGACTTTAAATGTAAACCATGAACTTGGAGGGGTAGGGATGAGGGTCAGTAATAGAGTACTTGCCTAGCATGCCTGAGGTCCTGGGTTCAGTACCAAGAACAAATAGAAACAAAGATATGAACTGGGAAATTTTTGCAGGATTGATAAAGTTATATATACCATTTATATGTATATACATACATATACATATATTTTACATATAAAACATACAAAATGTTACATCTATAATATAAACTACTTCATATACTGTATTAAATGAATATATATAAAATATAAATTATATAACTATTAAAATATGAAAGGAAATTAAAAAACAATTCTATTTATAGTAGCAGAACAAAGAATAAAATACTTAGGAATTAATGTAACTAAGAAGGCAAAAGACTTGTAAAATGAAAACTAAAATACATTTCCGAAAGAAATTAAAGACTAGATAAATGGAGGTTGGGTGTGGTGGTACATCCCTGTAATCCCAGCACTTGGGAGGTGGAGGATTCTGAGTTTTGCAGCCAGCTGGGTTATACAGTGAAACTGTGTCTCAGAAAAAAAAAAAAAAAAGACTAAGTACATGGAAAGACATCTCAGACATCTCATGTTCACGAATTGGAAGACTTAATCTTATTAAAATGTCAGTAATACCCAAAATGATCCAGATTTAATGCAATTCTCATAAAACTCTCAATAACATTTTTTGTGGACACAGAAAAAACCTTAATAAGATTCACATAGAATAGCAAGGGAGCCTGAATGGTCAAAACAAACCTGGGCTGGATGTGGTGCCACACACTTGTAATCACAGCACTAAGGAAGCTGAAGCAGAAGGATCGGAAATTCAAGGCCAGTCTGCCCATACTTTGTGAGACCTTGTTTCAGGGGAACAACAACAACAAAAATGACACTACCAACAGTGTAAAAGGGTCCACAGAAGTGGAGAAAATATTTGCAAATCATGTATTTGATAAATGATTACTATCTTAAAATCTATAGAAAACTCACTAAACTCAATGGCAATAACAAAACAATCTCACTCAAAATCGGGGAAAGGACTTAAAGAGGCTTTTCTCCAAAGAGGAAATCAATGACAAGAGGAATATGAAAATATGCTCAACATCATTAATCATTAGGGAAACACGCAAATCAACTCTATAAGGAAATATCATTTTCACTCATTAGGATGGCTACTATAAAAAAAATCAGAAAACAAGTATCAGCAAGGATGTGGAGAAAGTGGAACCCTTGAATGCTGCTGGAATGTAAAATAGTACAGCTCCTTTAGAAAATAGTATGTGGCAGCTCCTCAAAGTATTACAAATAAACTTACTATACGCTTTATCAATTCTACTTCTAGGTATATACTCAAAAGAATTAAAAACAGGGTCTTGAAGAGCTATTTTTAAAGCCATGGTCACAGCAGCAGTATTTGCAACCCAAGTGTCCATCAATGGATGAATGGATGAGCAAAATGTATACACATATAATGGGTATTACACAGACTCAAAGCAAGGAAATTCTGATATGCTACCACACAGATGAACCTTGAGGACTGTATGCTCAGTGAAGCCAGCCAGCCACAAAAGACAAATACTGTGTAATTCCAAATACATGAAGATCTTGAGAGTAGTCATATCACAGAGACAGAAACTAGGACAGTGGTTGCCAAGGGCTGAGGGGAGAGAAAAATGAAGAGTTACTGTTTAATGGGTATAAAATTTCAATTTTGCAAAAAGAAGAGTTCTATAAAGATGGATGGTGACAATGGTTGTACAACATGAATAATGTACTTAGTAGTAATGAACTGCTAAAAAAGGCAAAGATAGCAAATTTTATATGCATTTTGCCCCAATTAAAAAAACTGGACAAGATAATTAGAAATAGTTAACCTATTTTTATAGAATAATTATTTATATACAAAATTAAGAATGAGAAAGAAAACAGAATTATAGAACAGGAAATTAAAAGAATTGAATGATTCATAAATTCCTAAGACAATAAAGTTTAAAATATATCGTCAATTTAGCAAAAGAATTGAGTGAGCCAAGTGGAAGACGAAGAGACAGAGAATGTCGTGGGGAGAAGAAAATTACTCCCAAAAACGTGTGAACCCAGGCAATTATACTGGTGAGTTCTTTCAGAGTTTCAGGGAATGCAGAAAGTCAGTATTTAAAAAGTATTGTCAGGACACGGAGGCCAAAAGAACTGTCAGCCTGATCCACGCATGTCCTGCCCCTGTGGACTGCTGGGAGATGGCGGGTTAGGTTTCTGCAGGATTAAATGCATCACTAGCAGTGAACGCAGGCTTCACTCATCTTAACAGGGACCCCATGGTACTTGAAGCAACTAACACAGTAAAGGAGGGCAGAAGCTCTGTGAGTTGTTAAGGTTTATTGCTTATCTATTTGACTAAAACATCACTTTCTCATTAAATTCATATTTGAATTTAAGATTTGTTTTGTAGTTTCGTAATTTACTTTTAAAACTTGTGTTTGTTCTCATATAAAAAGAATAAAGAAGTTTATACTTATGTTTGTATGTATTTAAATAAAGTAGAAACAAGTAGAAAATCCAAGCTGAGATTTGTGAGATTTTTCTTTTCCTTAAAAGAAGGAATATACACTATCCAATTTTAGAAACTCTGCTTTAGGCTTTAGAAAATTGCTCTCTGTCTATTGAGTTTAACGTTCTCCAGGACAGACAGAGGTAAAGGGGAAGAGACGCCATGGGCTGTCCTTCATCAAGCCTGTTGGGCCTGTACAAAAGTGAAGGGACTCCCTGCAATACTAGTGATTACAAAGCTCTACAAAGTCTAGTCCACATCCCAAGTGACAGGTCTTCCAAATAAGGATTCACAGACAAAAAAGGAAAAAAAAAAAAAGCCTGTTATAAACAGAGGAATTCTCTCCTCATCTTGAAAATCTATGAAGCAGGATGCAGCTGGCTAGGGATTTAGGACCTAAGTCACCTTTCACTCTATAACCAATAGCCACATTTCCTGCTTCCTTTTCTGTTGTTGAAAAGTACCGTTTGTTGGGGAGTCTTTTTATAAGGTAAGGATAATGATCACTGTAAGTCTCACTGTAGTTTAGCTCTCCAGAGAAGGAAAGATGTCTGCTTCCCTTTCCACATAACAACTGTTCTTCTCTCCAGGTTACACAATCCCTTGATTACAAGAGCACCTAGGATATGGTTTCCAGACCACTCACCTTCAAATTGCTCTCCTTCTTAAAACAGATGCCAGCGGAGTACATCCACAGCAGAACCTCACATCTTACTTCCAGCTTTCCTCTCCCTCTCATTAAATGGTAAATTAACACAAATAAACTTTACTCTGGGCAACAAATGCTTTCTAAAAAGGAGGATGGAAAAAAAGTAATTATAAATTAAAAATCAATCCCCATTAGGTGTCAACAGACACCTAATATTTAACATTCTGCTAGTGATAACTTTTCTAAGAAAATTTTGTAATTTTATCTGTAAGATAAAAACATTTGGTATTCTGTCTCTAAAGGTGAGGCCTTCCTAGACCTTATTTTCCTTATCTTTAAAACTGCTGCAGTAGATATAATCTTCCTGTTTCACATAACCCTGGTGGCAATGCCTATGACAAGGTAAGTAGTTCTGCTATTCTTAGATGTCGAGATCTACTCCAAGTGAAAGTTTTAAAAATTGTTTTAGTTTTTGCTCATTCTACTTTTTGAAGCGAAAAGTACTCTACATCCCACCTCACATGACAGAGCAGTGAGACAAAATGCAAGTATAATAATTATTTTTATTACAAATTTCTGCCAATGATTTCAGCTATATTATTCTGGATATCACAGATTATACAACAGTATTATCTTATATACAAATACACGAAAACAACAAGAAAAGAAGGAATGTGTGGTTTTATGATACTTTATAACTCGTATTTAGTGTAGGACTTTGTAAACATACAGGCTGGTCAGCAAAGCCTGTTTTCCTATCACTATCCAGCTGCATGACCTGGGGAAGGTCACTTTTTAATAATCTGTCACCTGCCTGCTCTACCTAATGGCCAACTGGAAGCATGCAAAAGTACCTTGAAAAATATCATGCACTTGTGAGTACGAACTGTTACTTTTAACTGACTTACTGATTACTGGCTTTCCTATTTGAGGAATAGTACTACTCATGTTTTATTAAAAGTTAACACTTATTTACAAAATGACCGTTTTAAAAGGAACTCTGAGGTATTAGTTTTACTGACAATCTGCTATGATTCTGAAGCCAGAGTCCTGACTCTCAGGAACAGAATATGACATAAAAATATCTAACAGCCACAGCATTTAACAGCTAATAAAATAAAATACCTTTTTATTAATTCTCCAAGATGCAATAATCTAAAATAACAGATTTTATGATGTGTAAACTGAGGAGAAAAAAATAAATCCTACAATGGCTTAAGTAATTTAAAATACAAGTGGTAACTATGATGACTTAAGAACCTACCTTCACCTAAATCAAGTTTATTTGAAAATTCCTAAAATATTAAAATTTTGAATCAATAAAACATTTGCCACAGATTCACAGACTACATTATCCCAAACCTATCGTGCTGCCAGATATTTAGGTCAATCAGGCAAAATTTTTAATCTCATTGCTTTTCACTTTTTTTTGGTACTGGGGTTCAAACTGTGGGCCCTGCACTTGCTAGGCAGGTGCTCTAGCACATGAGCCACACCCCAGCTCATTGTTTTTAATTGCAATATGACTATTATCTCTAGGGCCTCAAATTTTTGAGGCACAACATAGACAATATTTATAATGACATAAAAAAGGGAAGATTATATAACATGCAGACTAGAACCACTTATTGTGAGTATCTGGGAAAATGATCTGTATGTTGATATCTGAAGGGTCTGTCTAATATGGTTACTTCAAGATTTTTGGAATCCTGGAAGACAAGGAAAATAATCTGCAAATATATCTTGCTGACTTATCAAGTACTGGCTATTAATACAGTCTCTATGTTATTATTCCTATGCCAATTCCTTAGACACTAGTCATTCTTTGGGTACTCTCAGCTTTGGATGAACCGTTTAGGGAGGGGTTAGATATATGTAAAGAGTATTATGCTTTAGGACATCCTTAGTTTATCAAAGTGAAAAGACAAATATTACAAATGTGAAAATACAGTTTGTGAGAGCTGCCAACTGTTTGGGTACAACTTAGAAAGTGTCTTCATCTGACTCATCACTCTTGGCTTTGGTAAGTCTTTCCAGTTCCTCTCCATCCTAAAAGGAAACAAATGAAATCAGTAAATAATTAAAACAAAATGAGAAAGGTTGCATCTAATGATTACTAAGGGGAAGGCTTGCTAAATATATGAACCCAACTCAGTCCTTGAATTTCGAAGTTAATCACAGAAGCAAAGTAAGAAGCGCCATCTGCTGGTCTTGAGGGGAAATGATTAAAGGTTGGAAAAGAATATAAAGTAGGCTTTCCTACTGAAATTTATTTTATCCTACTTAAAAATCAGGGCAAACACCATAATCAGTCCACTGGGAAAGAATACAAGACTTCTAAATGTACACTGTACATCCTGCCTAAGATCAGCGAGTTTGAGACAAGCTTCTAATCTTTTCATCTTTTTTTTTTTTTCTGGTACTGGGGGGTTGAACTCAGGGCCTAGTGCTTGCTAAGCAGGTGCACTACCACTTGAGGCACACCCCGAGTCCTAATTTTTTTATTTTAATCTGCTCTATCATCACCTCAGAGACATGACACTTAGGGAAAGTCTGCCATGAACCTAGAAAGCAACAAATTTTCCCACTATTTTGTATATGCATGAAAAATTGTTACTATGAAGTGATTCAGAAGGGTCCATTTCATTTCTCATTTAAACTGTATTTAACATCTTCACTGAATCTCCAAAAGATTACATGTAACATGATTGAAAGACCCTGCCAAAACAATTACAAACAGTTGGCATATATTCAGAATAACTGCATTAAATATTTTTCTAGAAAATATTATCCTCCTATTTGTACAGATCCTTTTAAAAACTACCTTCTTAGTGAAATAAACAAATCTTGTCCTCTGTTACAAATGAGGTTTACTTTTCCAACTATCGTTCAGGTTGCAGAGATCTAATACATTCTTTGACAAATCAATGCTGATCTTTTTTTTTTTTTTTTCTTGAATTTCCATGGATTGGTTTTGAAGAACAAGCAAAAAGCAATGTTTTCACAAACTTACTCCACTGGATCGCTCCCAAAGATTGCCACTTAGATCTCGAACCCTTTCTTGCTTAGGTGTATATTCCAGACTTTGAGGTTTGCTGGCATTATAAATAAAAATGGAGAGAAGGACTGATGGGGCTTCCAAGAAAAACTCCAGGGAGGGCCTAAAGTCAAAGACCAGGACAGACACTGCTGTGATGATGACAGTGGTGACCTGGGCCATCAAGACATGGAACATGTTATCCAGGAACTTCAGAATGAAAGCCACTGAAAGGCCCTGGAATGCAGTCACAAAAATAAGAGCTACTGAAAATGCATTGTGGCCATAAAAAAATCCACAGTTCTTAATTTGATCCCGGTTACTGCTCTGAAGACCCAGTGTCAGCCCATTAAAAACAATACCAAAGAAATAGAGTTTGCTGTTCTGTATGAAGATGCTTTCAGTGAGCTGGTTCCCTTCCTTCAGTATCTTCTCATTATAGATATTGGCCATCGAAGAGATAAAGCACTGTACAATAATAAGAACATGGCCCAATCCTAGACGAATGTGACTGAAAACTCTGGCTGTGGTGTTCCATTTAGGTTCAGGAAAAGTCCATTCTTTTGCTGTGCAATTGTCTTTTCTGGAACATTCATTTTGGAAATGAAGGCAAGAGTTAGATGGGCTGAAGAAGGCATCATGATGAAATCCATGACCTGCCAGGTTATGCTGTGAAGTTTTAGTCCCAGTAGTTAAGGCCACAATAGACAAAAATAAAATTAGAAGGGAGGACCACTGTATCCAGTTTAGATGCCGCCTGTCAAAAGATGAAAAACAAGATCCTATTACGTTTTCCCCACTGCATAAATTGTTTCTACTTCAGAAACTTGAGTACTTGATTAAATAAGCTGCACCCAATTTTATAAATGTTCCCCAAAATTTAAGTTCAAAGGAAACCTGTTCATAGTGCCTCTTTCTCAAACTTGATATTTTTACTCACTTCTATATTAACTGTCTTTTACAGTCATAGTTATTTCTCTTCTTCTTAAGCTGCAGATTTAACCAAGCCTCCTTCCTCTCTACCCCCAGAGCTATCTAGGTCTTGGTGCAATAACTTTTATTGTGCTATAATGTAAATTATAGCAGTGGTTCTCAAGAACCTGGTTTCCAAGAACCAGAAAGAAATAGATGAGCTTCAGAAATCTTTTATATAAATGGGTTTCTACCTATGGAGGCAATCAAATCTCTCAAAGGTGTTCATGACCTACAAAATATTTGAGGAAGCTAGCACCTGCAAACTGCTGGCTTATGAGGCAAGGAAAAATGCTATTTGGGGCAGTGTTTCAATTTACAAAGCCCCAACAATGCTTTACTTACTTAGCCTAAAAATAAAATTTATGAGACACACAGTATTATTCCATTTTGCTGATGCATTCAGTTCCACAGACATTTAGTAAGTAGTTATTTTGTGCCAGGCAAAGTGGGAGATAAAGACTTGATCTCCTACCTGAGGAATTTCTACCTTTAATAAGGAGAGAGTCATGAAACTAAGTAGAATGTGTGACCAGTGATAATGGAACAACTGGAATACACTGAGGAAGGGACACTTGAATCTGTAAACAAAATAAGGTATTGCTTCAAAGGGGAAAATGACACTAGAGTTGAAAGATGAAAAATAAATTGAAGTTTGCTATGTGACAAGAAAGTTGGTCACATATTCAGGTAGAGGGGGGTTGTCTATGCAAAGGCAACAAGAATGTATAAAGTTAAGAAACAGGAATGTCTGTCAGGTTGGGGTAGACTGCAAGGCCTCTGGAGAGAAAATGATCCTCATGTCTGAAGATCAATTAGTCATATTAAAATGGTAAAAGCCAATAAAAGAGAATAACATGAGCAAAGGCAGAAGTATAAAGCTATGGATGAGAACCAGAAGTTATAAGAATTTCCTTATCATGGGAGCTCTTACTGAATACCTCCTATAGTGTAGGCAATTCCTGCTTTAGGGAAGAAGTTCTTTGAGAGGTTAAGTGACATTCTTAAGGTAATATATTTATGAAAGAATAAGGGAAACCTGAGTCATAGTTTTGTATCACATCTTTTAAGAATAAGTAGAGCTCCCATGACATATATAGGAAAAGGTGTCTGATTTCACCAATTTTATGGAGCTTCATTCTTTGAAACTAAATTCATATATGAGCCCAGACAGAAGCAAATGGGAACACACCATCATGTTCTTCTCATGCCTTTAATTTTCAATTAACTAGGTCTAGAAGTCAGTCATAGCAATATAGCTATATCTGAGGTCAAAAACTCTGAATAAGTCACTTAAATTTCTGAAGGTGCAACTGGTACACATTAAGTAGAAGAAAGCAAATAGACTTGAAGGAGGAAATGAAAAATGGATGCCGAATTTATAACAATCATTATATAACCAATTATTATAGATAACAGGCAAATGAGGTAGTTCTTTTGTTAAGTTTTCAATTCTAGCAGCTATAGATCTACCACTAATAGTGACAATGAGAATAAAGAAACAAACTCTTAAATAAACTAAACAGTAGCTACTGCAGAAAACTACTCATCCAAGGTAATGTTCTAGGGAAGGTAAAAATTACTAAGGCTTAGGCTAAACATGGTAGATTTTCAGAAAAGAGTAAGAAACTTACTAAATTACTTTACAAAGTCAGCTGAGGATCTGTGCTTTTATAAAAGATGACTGATTCTGCAGGGCAGAGTTGATTTTTCAGTTTAACTCGTATAACACAACAGCTCACTTAACTGACCCTCCATTGACCCAGTAAAACATGGTGACTGATGCTCAGAGCTGCACACTTGTGGCTAGAAAACTACTCTTCCTGAGGGCCTCTGCTCCCATGAAAATTGTTACTCATGAGTCTCTGTTCGTAACTATTTGTACTAGGTGAGCTCAGTGTTATCTTACATATTTTAACAATTACATACATGATGAATTATGAAAAACATTGCTACTTTATGAAAAATAAGTTGAAGTTCTTCGGAAGACTAGCTAAAGGTAGACCAGACCACTCAGAAGATGAAAAACTGCCTGCAAATGGCACATAGATGAGGTAACTGTAAAAAAATAGGGGAAGAATAATAAAAATCTAGATGGATGCTAGCCAGAAGTATTTTCAATGACTTGATGCACTTTAGGGTAACTGAAACTAGAAATCATGGATTGTGTATAATGACTACAGCTTTAAATAAGAAAGAAGCTAAATCATTAAAAACTGACATAGCATTTTATAACTACACAGTGTACAGAAATTTTTAAAATTGAAGCCAATCACTAAAAAATTAGAGGGCAGGGTATATTCACACAATTAAGCAGAGGAAAGCACTAATTTTTCTGTAGTTTTTAAAATATATATATTTTAGTCAGATTTAAATTTTTAAGAGTGTAAATATATTCTGTGTTTCTGTGTATGTGACTGCTAAAGCACTTTGTATGGAAATGAGGATATTTTAGAATGGTACACTATGCATTCAAGTGAAATGTGCCTTTATGTCATTCTAAGAAAAAAGTGTTTTGCAGTCATAAATTACCACAAATGCACAAATTAAAGTTTAAATAGACTGAAAAAAAAAAGAAGCTAAAGAACTCCAAACAGCAAACCCCACACATACTCAATGAAAAGAGCCTACCTCAATGTCCAAAGGGTGAATGGATGGACATTTGTATATTTTAAGCTAAAACAGCTTAGACTTACACACACACACACACACACACACACACACGCACGCACACACAAATTCCTTCCTAATCTGTAATTTTGCTTTATAGGTAAACCTGAAAATATTATATAAAAGATCTCAAAGTAAACATAAATTTTGAACTGCCCACTTTGTGTAGCATGATAAACTCTCAAGCTGTCCCATTTGTATCCATGAGTTTCCCATTCAGATTCAACCAACTATGGGTCAAAAATATTTTAAAAATATCTAACCATGTAAGACTTCATTATTCCCTAAATAATATAACAAATGTTTATATAACAATTATATCATATTAGTTATTACACTGTATTAAGTAGAGATTTGCATGTGATAGACTACATGCAAATGCCATGCATTTTGTGCATCTACACTTGAGCATCTACACATCTTGGTATTCACAGGGGACGTAAAACCAATCTTCTGCAGATATGTAGGGATGACAATACATAAAATGATTCCCCATTATGAGTATACTTAGTAACTAAACAATTCAGTTCAAATTGTGTCAGATAAGAGCAATTCTACTCTGTTTCTTGAGAATGTGTTGGTTCCCTATTAGTGTACAGAAATTATGCATAAAGAGCTCATGAATTCTTTGTTGAAAATCTGGTACTAAAAATTAAAACATCAATAACATCCTAATGAATTATCTCATTTTCAAGATGTTTAAGATATTTCATACATCTGATCACAAGCATTTACATAGGCTAGCACTGGAGTTGCTTTCCACATTGGTTAAACACTGTGCCCAACACACAAAGCCAATTAGGAACAAAATCCTAGCCTTGGGATTCAGAGGGCTCAGTGTTCTGGGTCTATTATCTAAAACCAGGCTGTACCACTTTAAAGTATGATATATGCTTTCACACTAAGTTACTTACTTCAGCACTATCCTAAACAGAAGAGCTGTTGTTATTATGCTAAAATTTGAGAAGATAACAGCCATGGCCTAGAAAGAAAAAGAAGATAGAATTACAATCCAAACAAAGTATGGACCTCAAGAATCTCTCAGCTTAGTAGTTCAACTGACAACAAAAGCTTTTAGTGAAACACCAGAGGGATTATTAGAGCAGCTATTTTACTGGAGGATTGAATTTCATTTTTATTGCTTGTTAAATGTCTACAGATATGATTAAGTTGTTGCCCACAATTTGAAAATATGTGTTTAAGTTCAAGCAATGCCAGGATAAATAATTTTTATGTATAGAGCTGAAAATACTTCTAAAATAAAAGGTACAGATTTAGAAAACAGTTACCATGTTTATGAAGCATACTTTTCACAGCTGTTAAAAGTACTTCATAGGCTTTGAAAGAATTATTATTATTGTATGTGGTTCTGGGACTCAAAACCCAGGGCCTTGGCTTTGTGCTCACTAGGCAGGCACTCTATTGTTTGAGCCACCCTTCTATCCCTTTTCTGCTCTGGTTATTTTGGGCATCTCCATAGTTGGGGACTAGCAAACTTTGCCCCGGCTGGCATGGAACCATGATCCTCCCGATCTCAACCTCCCAGGTATCTTGGGATTAATTGGGATGACAGACACGCACTACTGTGCCCAGCTATTGGTTGAGATGGGGGTCCCTCAAATTCTTTATCCAGGCTGGACTTGAACTGTGATCCTCCCAATCTGAGCCTCCCAACTAGCTAGAATTACAGGTATGGGCCACAGGTGCCCAGCCACTTATGGACTTTTAATACTGCTTCTGTGAACAAATAGAAGGGAAATACTGTTATGCCCACTTATATGGCAGGAAAGTTTAGGCAGATACATAAGCATCTTTTCTGTTTTAGGAAATGAATCAATTTTCTTGGTTGAAATATGACTCAAAACCAAACTTATATTTCACAGTCCTTTGGATTGAGTCTACTTATTCTAAACACTTAGAAATATGTTAGCCAGGTTTTCAAGTAGTTTCTTTTTGTGAATTCAGTTGTATTTCACAAGAGTATTAGTCTGACCATGTGCACAGTTTGATCAGAAGTTATGAAATTACATCATTTTTTTCCATTATTCGGCCTGTCAAAATTATTAACTTTTTAAAAATAATCCTATGCATTATTTTATCCTGCATTCCCCCTGGCTATCACCTTAAGTTACAAAGGGTATGTGGGCATGGTAGAACACACCTGTAATCCCAGCACACGAGAGGCTGAAGCAGGAGATCTGTGAGCCCAGCCTCTGGTACACAGTGGAACACTGTCTAAAAAACACCTATCAACCCATCAACCAAACAACCCACCAAATTACAGAGTATCAACAGTCTTCTATAACCACTAATAACAGCAAACATGGCGAATATGAAGCTAAATCAAAAAAGAGTGCATTCAATAAAAACTAACAATAATTCCAAGAATATAACATTGTTTTTCTATTCAATTTTGTTTTTCTTTTTTTGCTTTCTGTGGTGCTGGGGACTGAACCCAGGGAGCCTTGTACATACTAGGCAAGTATTCTACCACTGAGCTACATCCCCAGCTTTTACTAAATTAAAAAAAATTAACTGACACCCAACTGTATATATTTATGGGTTATAAAGAATGATAATTTGGTACATGTATATAATATGAATTACCAAATTAAGTAATTAGTAGTTCTACATTCTTAACAATTAACATTTCTTGCGTTGAAAGACTTTGCATTGGTTTTCTTGCTGTATTTCTGAGGAAGACAAATGCTTGTGAAACCCCGGTCAGGAGAAGAGTAAGAAGAGATGAAGAAAGGGGCTGGCGAGAGTAGGGAAGTCGTGGCCCTCAACAATCATATTAAGGCAGTGCAGCTACACCCAACTAAGCAGCCTGGCAGGCTTGATGGACTTTGAAAACTCTCACCATATAATAGAGGAAAAAAAAAAATCAAACATCAGAGCTTTAGGTCTGAAAACTTCCATCATCTTTATTTGATTCCTTAAATAGAATTGGGCGCAGAAATACATAAGTGTGTGCCATGTGATTTGTTTTGTAATATCTGTAGATGCACACAATCAGGAAGGAAGAGCAAAGCAATAAATATGAAAAAAAATAAGGAAGTTTCAAATTTGCTTTGGTACTGGAAATGTAGAAAGGGGTATAAATTTAGAGCTAATCTGTTGGTTGCAATTAAAATACAAGTCCTTACTTATTGAATGTGAATAATTACATTGTTGCATTTAGGAATTCTCAGGTCTGAATAACAGAGTGGAAGCAAGAATTTTGGAAAGGACATGTTCTATATGGACCGAGCACTTACTACCAACATGAATCACAGAGAAGACAGAAACTTCAGGCACTCAACTGGCATAGGTCCCTGCCTTTGAGCTGGATTATTCTTCTATTTTAGATGGAGTAACTGAAACAGAGAGCAATCGGGGCTGCCTACTTACACACATTCTAAATTGTGGAAGTGTCAAACTCCTATTTTCTTCTGTTGTGTTCTACAGAAGCCCTCCTTTTCATCTCATACTTAAAACTGATTTAGTTACATGTAAGAGGTTTCCCATAGTGCTAATAAAGACCCTACTTGTAATCTAAATGATTAAACTTACTTTCTAAAGAAAATCAAAACACATTTTTGGCTAAAAATGCAATAGAAATCTTCATTTTATAAATATTAGGGGGGAATACACGTCACTCAAACTGAATGGTAGATAGAAGCAGAAGACCAAATTCTAATTCTGGGTACTAATGCCTTGTCAAATTGACACAAAGGATGCCAAAAGAGGAGTATTACTAGCATTAACAGTTATAGATGGCTTTGACATTTTGAGTGATACAATCTTTACTCTCAAAGAATTTGTCAGTTAAATTATAAGATTAACAGAAAAAGCCAAACAAACAGGAAACATAAAAACAGGTGTTAAGAAAGAGAGGTAAAGTATATAATTTTCTGAGTCAATCATGAAAGTCTACATGGATGTCTTAGATGACGAGATTGAGATTAGAGGCTCAGGGTGTGGGCAGACAGATTAATGTTACACAGAGAGCTGGCTTGTGATTCTTTGGACCAGTGAGCAACTTCCACATCGCAATCAACTCAGTTAGTAATCTCTAACACTGAGAGATTCTGGCAAGCAGAATCAATATTCAATATTGAATATCAATATTCAAATGATTTTAGGAAAACTTTAGCAAGGCCAGTGAAGGCAACAAGAGTCAACCAAAGCCCAGGCAAATGATAAAAACAGAAAGACTAATACTGGGACTCATTTCTCTGCATTTTTTCAATGACATTTCCTCTCTCATATTTTTACTTACAGGCTGAAGATAGGATAGAACATAGAAGACAATCAAGTTATCCAGGAAATAGAGAAAGGCAGGAATGGACCACTTCATGAAATTAGAGAATTCTTTCCAGGAAGCACATCTCAAATGTCTACTTTGATGATTTTCTAGAGAAAGAAATATAGCAATAAATAAATAATCTTCACTAAGAATGCCAATAGTTTTAGAGAAAATACATTATATTTGATTACTGATATAATTTCAAAAGGGGCTCTATAAAATTTCCTCAATAAGTGACCATTATTTACAGAAATAAAAGATAATTTTAGAATCTGTTTAACCCACCTCTGTGTCCCATCACTGGCAACAAGCAACACCCTTGTAAAATGGATATCCTAATTCCTGATGAATTTAAAAGTACAAATTTCACTTAAGGCACCCTAGGATACAAATGTGGTTTCTTTTAATTCTCTGAGCATAAGACGAACAGGGAGGAGATCAACAAGTGGAATATATACTGTTACTCTTCCCTTCAGAGGAGATCCAACTAATACGTGGAGATTTGTATGTATGGAACAAGAGATAATTAACTCTACAAATCCTAGTGTGAGTTATTATCTCAGTTTCAGACTTCCAAAGACTTAGGAAGGCATACTGTAACAGAGAGAACACAAAATGAAAAGAAACAAAGGCAGTGTAAATTGAAACCCTGCAAGTAATGAGGTAGTTTTCATGAAATTAAGAAATGTTTTTCATTAACTAGGAACTCTTCATAGACTGAGACCCTTGAGTATGAAAAAACATCTTCTTGGACAAGTACTTTTATGCTTTAACTTCTATGTTTACTTCAGATGCAAAGACAGATCAAAGACGAGAGCTAGTGAGCAGCACTAAGGCCTATAACTGGGGAACTGAGAGAGAGAATTAATACATAATAAGAGCCTATATATAAGAGACTAATACTCTACATGTAAGGAAGGGACTAGTATTTCTACATGATAGGTCTGCCTCAGAACATAGTCTGACTCCAGTGCACTACATTGTCTTCCTGTAGGAAAAAAAACTGCTTTGCAAAGCAATATATATCAAGTCAAACAGCAGAGTGATTTAAAAACTCCTGAATTTGAATAAAAATTAACTTGCTGTATGAAATCATCACAGGAACAAGTGAGAAGGTAGAATGGGCAGGACACTGGGAAACTTGGGTTGGTGTCCTAGCTCTGCCCCTTCTAACACTGCTCTGCCTGACATTGTCTTTAGACTGTTTCTCCACCTATGAAGTATACTTATGTTTGTGTCTTAGCTTCCTCATATATAAAATTAATGGACTAGATTAAATGATATAAAATGCCCTTCCAGTGCTAACGTTTTTGACTCTGTGATTTTTTTAGTAAATATATTTATTTAAGACTCACCTTTCTTTATAACACAGAATGACACAAGCACACAGAAAACTAGCTTCACGAGTTCTGAGCATACATTCACAGTAGTTGGAAGATAGTCATACTTATTCTCTGAAATGCAACAGAAATTTTTTAACCATAAATTTTGATCTATTTATATTTATATAGTTAATAATTATTAACTTTAAAAGCTGGATTTAATTACTGGTTATATTAAATTTCTTATAGTTGGCATTGCTTTTCTGAATTTTTGAGTCAATTCATTTAATGTATCCCCATCCCATTCAGCTTTTTATTATCCCTGAATTTAGTAGACACGCTTCATGTTTCATTCACATTACTAATGAGTATGTTGGGAGGCAGGGCTAACAGTAAAGAAAGCTCTGTGGCAAGGCAACAGAAACAGCCTTTAAATTGACCATTAATTACCACTCAGTGTTTGACTGATCAATGAATTTACCTGCTGAATTACTGCTTAACTCATGCTTCTTCTTGTGTAGCTTGTTTTCCTTGCAAAAATGGAAGTGCACTTGGTGCACATGTCTTTGACTCAGAATTTTTCAATCTATTTCGTATCATGGTATGGAATGTTAACTTTTTTTACATTTTTGAGTAAGTGATAACTTGGGCAAAACAAGAAACCTACCTTAGGCAAGAGGCAACATGCCTATGGCTCTACTACTTCTAAGGCCGAGAGGAAATACTGCAGGCCATCCACACCCACTAATGAGTTGTGCAGCTATGTCCTAACTAACAAGTGAACTGAATTAAGAAATGAGGTTTGGTTAGCATGCTTGATCTTAATTGTTACCTCTGTCTTTTCTAAATGCTTATGAACAACTTGCTTTATGATTTTGCAAAGGACAAATAGAAACTTTATTAAGTACTGTTTTCAAGAATGCATTTTCTCCCCTTTTGAAAATATTTGCTTGTTTCTCTGAGGGACATTAAAACCCAAACTGACCAACTTGATACTGTCTCTTTCCAGAACACTTTTTCTTCCTCTTCCTTGAAGCTTCCTTTGAATTTCTCAATCTATGCAGATTATCTCTATTCTTGCAGCACTATCTATAAATCTCTGAAACAGCACCTGTCGTATTTAATTTTTTTATGTGCGTGTCATACTGTTAAAATGTAAGTTCCTTATGAGAAAAGACCATGTTGGTCACCTTCATGTATCCAGCACTTAGCCTCCTGCACTCAGCAGGCACTTAATGAATAGCCATCTGAATTTAAGTATCTGCTTGCTCAACTTACCCCATTATTCAAAGCCTAGTTCAAAGACACAAAGGTAAACTTTAAGTCACACTTTGTTATCCTCAAATGATACTTTTCTTTATCTCTACCATGACACACATGTACCAACATGTGCACATAAGGATGGGGGATCCAGATTAAAACTTTTAAATCCTCATCAATGTTCTTTAACTTGTCCTTGCTTTTCACTGGTTCTGACACTCCTCTCATGACTAATCCTAAACTACGTGACATCATGGTGTGGTACCTCAGTCCATTCCTCTCTACATACCATCCATCCTTACTGTTTTCTCTCCAGTCCCACAGGAAGGAGACAATGCCTCATTCACCCTTTGAAAATCTTCCCTTCTTAGGGACTTAGCACCAATATATCTCTCTTTTGGTTTCAGCATATCTCCTGTATTATCTTCTTTACTAACTAGCTTTCTTCTCTTAGCCTATACACAAGCTTGGAACTTTCACATCTGATAAAATGAAGATACTACCCCTCTGGCTATCACAATTTTTCTCCTCAAAAAAGTATCAATATTATCTCCACAATATCTACTTTCTATTAAGGTTTTATCCCCAAGCAATTTGGTTTCTGATTCTACCACTGTGCCTCCTATTTATTTAGCTGGTTTTTCCTTCATGTGTATTATGTGTCAGACTCTGAATGAATTGCAATGAATGAAGATACAGCTCCTGGCCTCATAGATGATACACAGCTAAAAGTAGTTTCTTACAACCTGGTCCAATTTGTTCTTCCTCCTAACAGTCCCTATCTCAGCTGAAGACAATGTCAATTCACTCACAACTCAAATTAAAAAAACCTTTAAAATATTCAGTATTTTATCTCCTTTAGTCCCCACATTCAATAAAATATCCAAATTATGTCTTTTCTGTGCTGTATTTCTTGAATCTGTTCTATTTCTACAGTACTAAGCTAGTCTTCATCATCTGTGGCTTGAATTTGCAATGACTCCCTAATTGGCTGCCATGCTTCCAGTCTTTTCCTTTACCATCCACTACCATTATAGGCTCTCATTTTATCCTTCTGTTTGTAATACTTCAGTATTATTTATCCCTCAAACTCTGGGTCCTAGAAAATAAAGTCCTAGCTCCTTTACATGGCCTATGAACCCTTAATAATCTATCACTTCCCTTTTCATTAAAGTGCTCCCTCCCTCTCTGCTCCAAGTCTTTAAGCTTTTTGCTAAGTAATTCTGAACAAGATAGTCTTTTATATTTATATCCTGCTCCTTTTTACAGGCTGTTGCCTCTGATTATCTTGTTTTCTGGTGAATAAACTGTCACCTAACCAGAGAAATGTTCCCTAACTCCTTTGCACTCTACCTTATCCTCTTTCAGACAGAGGCTATTACTTTTTCCTCTAGACAATCTCTGCATCTTTGACATATTTCTATTACTACATTTATTATAAATGCATTTTCATTATGTGTTTACGTGTATGTTTCTTCTAATAAATTATGCATTCTTAAGGGCAAAGTCAATGTCATATGTACTTTGAACTCTACTATTAATAATATGCCTAGGGCTTGAAAGATTAACTGAAGTTAAGACTTACATACACAGGTGACGCCCCAAGCACACCATTAGGGATCATGATCTTATGTATTGTCAATAACTAGTAAGAAGTACTCTATAATATAGTTTCATGGAATTGAAGTATTTGCATAAAAACACTTTACATCAAAAAACCATTTCTTGAGTACATACTTGTCAAATAATCTTTATTGTACAGTAATTATAATAGTACCTCATAAATGCCACGTAGCCAAACAAATATATCCTATTTCCAAATAAGCTTTAATTATATATTTTGCTACAGATTAAGAAACACCTGTTGAATGAAGCAATAATCAAACGTTATGATATGTTCTGTACAAAGAGCTTGACTGACCCAAATTTCATCTAGTGTCAATAACCTTTCTTGCCAAGGAATGAATAGTTAAATTTAAAGGAAATTTAAACATGCTCTATCATTCATAAAAAGCAGAGTACGTCTCCATTTTATACAAAAAGAAAACAAGATAGGAAAGATAACGTGTATTAAGTACTCCATACATATTTCACATATTCCATCTTAGAACTTACCTTCATTGGCAGAATATTTTACCAGGAGGATGCGACTTGAACTTAAAGCAATGAATACAGCACCCAGCAGGAATGTATACATCTTCGAGGAGCATGACCCAGGACGCCTACAGCACTTTCTTTCCATTCCACGTTTTTTAATTGCCTTAAAAAGAATATTTTCATGAGCAAACCTAAGGATTAAGCGCAATGCAACCTCATTGATTGTGCATTGACAGAAAAGGAAAATTTTAATGTCTGGCCACAACTATATCAGAACCAAGAAGGCAAGGAGCACAGAAGAAACTATGAGGAAATTTTAAAAATCAAAATCTGATGATTGGGGTACTCTAGAGAAAGAAAAGACAAGCCAGATTAGAAATGACGAAGGTAGCAAATGAGTGACACTTTGGGACTACAAAAAGCAGTGTATTTTTACTAGCAAGTTTGCTCTAGGAGAACAAGATTTTGGAATTGTATTCTTTCCTCCTCAGTAGCATCTCTTGCTGAGAAAGAGTTCCTTATGGTAAAAATCAAAATGGAAATAGCAGAAACACTACTAATTTTCACTGAACCAGTGTAGGAAGGGCTCATTTTAGGACTCGCTGATCTAACAGGGCCCTCTTTTGACAGAATGAGGACACGAAATCCTAGGTAGGTAAACAGTTGGACGCATGGTGGGGACTGCCGGGAAACGCCAATAGCGCAGCTCAGCTGGGCGTAAGCATCCGGGAGCGCAATGAGTCACCTACCCCGCGCGAGGCCAGGTTTCCCTCCACGGCCAGGGCAGCCTCTCACCGCACATGCGCAGTAGGGACGGCGGGTGGCGCGCTCCCCTCGCCTCCGACGCACGCGCAACGCTTCTACCGTGGGGCGCGGTTACTTGAGTGGATTGGAAAAGCTTCTAATGGAAGAACGCACATCATAGAGTTGGGATAGTGACTGTCTAGCTCCGCAGAGGCAGCAGTCACTGTTTAGGGCCCATAGGTGGGGAGGCTACGAGAGGGAAACAAAGGTGAACAAGAGTCAGCTACCCGGCCTCCTAGTCCGGAACGAAAAGCTCGATCTCCACTCGGCTGCAGGGGAGTGGGAAGGGGAGGAGGGCGGGAGAAAAAGAGAACGGACTCGGCACCCATTGCGCAGGCGCGTTCCCTGTTACGCTTCCGGAGGGAGATAGGGAGGAACTGCCGGTCCGCCCTGTGCGCCTTTCTCGCGTCACGTGTCAGGGGAGGCTAGTGTCACGTGAGGCCCAGGTGGCGTTGGAGCTACGGCAAGAGAGTGAGAAGAGGAAGGGGAAGGCGGAAGGGGTGCCAGTGAAGCAAAGGGGAAAAGACAGCCCCTCAGCTGACGAGGGGAGCGCGTGCACCCACCTCTTATTTTCCCCAACTCTCCCCTAGGCCCCGCCGCTGTCTTTCGGGGCCTAGTGACAGCTGGGCTCGGCCCGCCGCGTGCTGCCTGGGGCTCGAGGAGCGCGCGCCCTGCCCTGCCCCGCAGTATCGCGCGCGGCACCCGCCGCCCCTCCCCCTCGTCCGCTCCGTCCGTCCCGTCGCGTCGTTTCCCACCCTGTCCCGTACCTTCCGGGGCTGCCGGCACGGTTCCGATGCGAGTCTGCGGCATCGGGGACATTTTGTGACTCCCCCGGCCCTGCCCGGCAGCCCTTCCCACCCCGTCGCGGGGCCCCAGGATGCAGAATGTGATTAACACGGTGAAGGGAAAGGCACTGGAAGTGGCTGAGTACCTGACCCCGGTCCTCAAGGTAAGCCGGGCCGGGCTTGCCAGGGGCTGTCGGGCTCACGGTCAAGTTGGCAAGGACCGGGCGGGCGCCCGAGGAGCCCCCTGGTCCTCCCGGGCTACGGCTCCTGTCCTCAGGGATGAACTTGGAGGGACGCTCGGTGAGCGCTCCGGTCCCCACCCTTACCCATCCTTGCTTTGCACGGCTGGGGACGTCGGGTTGGAAGGTGGTCCGCTGCAAAGCTCTGAACCCTAACATCGCAACCCTTTTAAAATGAGGCTTCTGGTGATCTTTTAGAAAAGTGGAACCTGTTTGGTACTAAATGACATATGTCAATTTCTCTTCCAAGTTATATAGGAAGTCTTCTGTAAGTATCAAATAGGTAGATTGTTACTGAGGTCCCCACGTCCTTTAGTTTCAGAGGAACTCAGTTGAATTGTAACATTGTCTTCATCAGTAACTGAACCGAGATAAAGAGCAAAAACTTCTCTTTCCCAAGCTTTTAAAAATAGCTGTGACTGATTAATCTTGATGATAAGTAGGTTGGCTCTCTTGCATATGTAATTTCTTGTGTACTGGAAACAATGCAGCATTTACAAGTAAAAACTGTGACTTGTTATAGCAGTGAGTGGATTTTTTTTTTCCGAAGAAATTTCTAGAACTGCAAGGTTTTCTCTTATAATTTGCAGAGTGCATTTTTATTGTTAGGACTTTGTTTTTGCTTTTCTGAGAGGTAAGTGAGCAATGACAGTATATGGCAACATTTTTTTTCTAGCTTTCAATTAGAATTTTATTCATGTTAGTGTGGGGTTGAAGTATTCTGATATGCTAAGAGAAAGAGTGGACAATTTTACTTTATTTCCTTTCCTTGACAAAGGGAAATGTTAGGTCTTTACTTTTTTTAATACTTATTTCTAAGACTCACTTGAAAATGATGGGCCAACTAAGAAGCAGTCAGGAATAGTATGAATGAGAATCTCAACTCTTGTTTTGCTTACATTTATTTACTGTGAAAGCCATTTTAGTTAGGACTATTCAGTCAGCTATTTAAAATTTGAAAATTGTTTTGACATTTGAATCAAATGCTTTTTGCATGTTGTATTACTCTTTCAGAATAGTATATTTTCCTAGGTATGCAACATTTTAGTACCAATTGTCATAACTTTTTAGTTTCAGGGAGAGTTGAGCAAAAGACTTTTCAAATTAAATACAAAATGGCCAGTGTATTTTATTGAATTTAGAATGTAGAGTTTTGAAGACTGGTCCACCAAACTGAAAAGGAAATTTTAGCATGATGTGTATCTTTAGTGTAAAGGGAGGAGGAATTAACCCCTTTCCTGTCACTCCTGTTTACTGCGAGAATCTTCAGGAAGGCAAAGAAAACAGGAAAGAATTGATGGCCTTCTCTTAGCAAGTAAAGGTTAAGAAAAATCATTGTTTGTTCTGAGGACACGCATGTAGTAAAAGCCAAAATCCTCCTAATTATTTTCAAAGCTCTACTTTAGAGATCCCAATCTCTTACTCCTCCATCCCATGATTACTCTTGCTCAAGCCGACCTGACCTCTTTAGTACTCACTCCATTAGGCACATATTTGCTGCCAGATTTTACATTTGTTCTTTTCTCTTAGCTTGCAATGCTCTTCTTCCAGGCACCCTTATGGCTTATTCCTTTATGTAGGTGTTCAAGTCACTGGTTAATGAAATCTTTATTCTCTCACCATTTCATTTTTAATGGCTATCTCTCCCTCACTACTTCATAGTGTCATATTCATTACCATTTGGCATTTGTTCCTCAACTAGAAATTAACTCCTTTCAAGGGCAAAGATGAAGTTTGGTCCATTTTGTTCAGACCTGTATTCTATTGCCTCAAATAGTGCCTGGCACATAGCAGTATTTGTTGAGTAAATCATTCACAGATAAATCTTTTCATTTTTGCAGACTGCCACAAGGTCTTGCTTAGAACTTAGAATTTAGAAAATTTAGTAGTATCATTCTTGATTTAGAGAAGAGAATATTGTTTTACTGTCTCAGAGAAGCTAATGGGAACTATTAGATGATTTCTGCATTTGGTTTCTAGTATTACTCAGTTTAAGACATTGACTGAATGAAACATATTTAAGATGTTTTGTGGAGCCTTAAAGATATTTGCTCATTGCACAGAATTAATGTAAGGCTTTGTGTATTATTGTTGCACTGATCACGTTGTATTATAATTATTTTCATGTCAATTTCCTATATTAGACTTAGGTATCTTTGTTGTCAAGTATCACAGTATCTGCAGTATATGTGTTTGTATATGCTCCTTTGCCTAAAAGGGTTCCAGGTAAATAGATTCCCCCAAAACATGTTTTTTAGTTGAAAGTGAAAGGTGATACAATGCTGTTAATCTTTTTGCTTTCTCTAGGAATCAAAATTTAAGGAAACAGGTGTAATCACCCCAGAAGAGGTGAGTGTTGAAGAGACTCTGAAGCCCTTATGTCTTATAGTTGTATTAAACAGGATAGCTTTTCTGCTTTGTAAGAAAACATCTTGAATTTTTAAAAGTAAATAAAATTGGATTGGGGCAACTATGTTAATGATTTATGGGAATTTCTACTTCCCATAGAAGAGAAGATGTAACTTCCTTCTCAGTTAGTCACAGCTCATACTTCTCTGCAGTTCCTCTGTTCAGAAATGAAGATGGGAGAAGGAATGGAAAAGATTCTTAAGGGCACTTATCCTTTATTTATTTTGTGTTATATTGAGTTGTGCACTGGACTCTATTATGTGTTTACTGTGTCATGGCTCTGTCTATACCAAATGTGAATTGTATTATGGCATTCCATTTTGAAACTTTGCTTACTGCTTGGATGTTAAGTTTTCCCTTAATATTCAGTTTAAATATTGTACTGTGACATAGTTGACACCGATTTTTTTTCCCCATTTTCACTTTCTCTGCTTAACTAGTAATGTTGAAACTTAGTACTGGAACTAACAGCTATTTTTTTTATTGAACTTTTAACAGAATTACGCTTTGAGGAATAATTTCACCAAGTCTGTATTGTTATTATAAGATAGCTTATCCCTAGAGAAGTAAAACCCTTTTAGGGTCCAGTTTTATGACTAGTTGTGGTGGCATCAGACTTGTTTTGTTCTAAATAAAAGGCAAAGAATATATTTAAGCTTGATCTTCAAATTTCACTAAAAACACCATTCATTGGCATTGGTACTGAATTTGTTGTTTCGAAAGAAACATTTGGAACTCAGCCTTGTTGCATGATGAGGCTGTAACTGGCACTGTAAATTCTAAAGACCTCAAGTCAGAGAATTAACTGATCTTTCAGTTTTCAATTATAATGGAATCTCTCCATTCCAAAATCCTTCTCAGTTCTAAGAATAGTTTGCTGAACTGATCTTTAATCCAAAACTACCTTTATTTTTAATGAAGACACATAGTGGTATGGAAAGAACCAAGGTGACCTGCTTTCTACACCCATTTCTCGAATTTCTCCTAATTTAGGCAAAGCTGTTAAACTAATCTAGGCCCAGGCCTCTTGTTTCCTCAACTGTAAGATAAGAGGTCTGGTCTAGACATACTCTAAAGGATCTAGTCTGCCTTAGGCTTCATGAATTTAGTATCTCAAATGCAAAATAAAATTTTGATTTTAAGGGTAACTTTCTTGCCAGCAAAGAAATGGCTTAGCATCTGGAGTCAAGAACGGAGATGAAAGTGTGCTGTTCTTGTCCTGTGTCTGTATCTGCAGTGTGTGAAGATGACTTAATAGATAGTTGAAGTGATGATGTATTATCCTAAAATAGGTTTTTCTTAGACTTCTTATTTGAGAGAATTCTACTCTCAAAGACATGCTTTCTCAGAAAGGCATTGAAAGACTTTTTTGTAATTTTTTTGCTGTGTAATAAACTCAAGGTTTTGTATTAGAGCTATTGTGAAATAGAAGTAATTAGGAAAGTATGTGTGCAAATTGCTTGAGTTGGGAGACTGCAGGTATGCTTTTATTTTTTGCTTTTTTTTTTTGTGGTACTAGGATATAGCTTCAGGGCCTTGTGCTTGCCAGGCAGGCACTCTACCACCTGAGCCATACTTCTAGAACTTTTTTTAAAAAATCATTTTCTGCTGTTAAAAATAAGCAAAATCTCTGTTCTTTAGTAAGATCATTTTATGTCTATGTAAACTGGAAATCTTGAAAATTAAATAGTTTCTCCCCAAATCTGTTTCTTATTTCTGAAGAAAAACAAAAAACTCATACAATGTTCAACCTACCCAGAAAGCCCAAAGTTTTTTACAAGATTCAGTTTTTCAGTTTTGTAGGTGTTTTCAGAGTGAGTCCAAAAGCTTTTAACTTTTTCTTCATTGTTTGGCACTAATTTGTTTTTCTTATTAATGATTCCTTTAAGAATGTGATAAAGCTTTCAAAATTAGCCATTACTTAAAAATATAAAATAAAAGAGAGTGCTGAGGATATCAGTCATAGATCATTGATGGAATGATTGGCTAGCATGCCCAAGGCCGTGGATTTGATCCCTAGCACTGGGAGAAAAAAGTTAGTTAAAAAAATAATAAAAGAGGATAAAGAGGAAACATATACTGATGTAATGAAGTGAGTTTACATCATAGACCTGTTTCTATTAAGTAATTTTTTCGAAGGTTTTTCATACATCAGCAAGAATCTCTTTATATTTAACCATATAATGGATTTTGAGGTTTGTAATTTCATGATACATATTTTAGGTATTACTTATTCCAGTGATAAAAATTAAATTAAAAAAAATAACACTTAAGATTGGGTGTAGTGGCTCATGCCTGTAAATCAAGTTACTTGGGAGGCAAAGATTGGAAGGATTAGTGTTCAAAGCCAGCCCAGGCAAAAAAGTTAGCAAGACCTCACCTCAATCAATAAAGCCAGGCATGGTGATGCACATCTGTGATCCCAGCTATTCAGGAGCCCTTGGGGTAGGGAGGGGTCACAGTTTGAGGCCAGCCCAGAAATGCAAGACCCTACCTACCTGAATAACTAGAAGGAAAAAAAACAGTGCTGGAGTTGTGGCTCAAGTGGCAGAGCACCTACTTAGCAAGTGAGCCCTTAGTTTAAGCTAAGTATCAGCCAAACAAAACGAAAGAACTAAGTATTTTTTTCTTCCAAAGTTAATTTGAATTTTTATGGGCATCAAAAACATTTGCAGTTTGTTGCTATTTGCATTTTAATTGGTTAGTAACTATCAAGGTTATCCACAGTGATCAGTTTGGTGTTTTGCCACCCTGCATGCGGTGATGTTCACTTTTTCTTCCCCCCCCCCCCCTTTTTATATTCCTTCCACATCCTGAGTAGTTTGTGGCAGCTGGAGATCATTTAGTCCACCACTGTCCAACATGGCAATGGTAAGTCTTCTTAAGTAAAATTAGAAAGCTAATGAAAGGTATGACTTCGTAATTTTGACAATTTACAAAATACATTAGTTTATGAAAAGTTGGAATGATGTGTTTACTCCTCTTCTTCCAATATATTTTTCTATTTCCAGAATCCCAGGAATACTCAAAGCAAAATAAAGGTAGAAAAAGTGTGTGCTTACATCTGTTTTATTTTACTCTGTTAGCACAAAAGATGGAAACATTTGGGATAAATCCATTTACTTCCTTTGCTAGTGTTTCCTTAGTAGCTTCTAGAACTGATTTTGTGGTTCTTTATAAGATAATGCTCAGGAGTTTCTTAAATTTGATTATTTTTCAAATTAAGAAATATTTATTGAACATTTCTTATGAGAACAGCTGCAGAATTTTGTGGATTTTTGTGTTGTTTGAAACATAAGATATTTCCATTTTTTAAAAAAAAAATTTAAGGATAAAGGTATGTTCCCTCTGGAATTAGCTAAACTTAAAAGGTTCATGTTATCATTTAAGGTCTTTACTATGAATGTAGTTGTTATGGTCTTAAAATTTTTATTTTCTTCATTAACTTTTAAATACTAAAGTAATTTAATGTAACATTTTAAGATACTCTGAATAGTAAAATAAAGCTGCAGAAGCACCTTCATTACTTTGTAGTGGTAATGGTAAAAGCGTCCTAAAAAAAAGTGCTACCAATACTGGCAGAACTATTTTATTCAGGCTAGAATTGTTTGCATTCATCACCTTGTTTGCATGTAGCTGTTTCAACCTCCTATATCCCCCTTTTTTGTTACTTTTTATTTTTTAGTTGTAGTTGAAAGGTACAGTTTTGTTTGAGGACAGGAGTTGTAGAATTAGCAAGGTTCTAGTTGATAATATTTTTCTAAATATCTAAGGAACTTAAGTAATTAAAGTATTTTAAAACAAAGTTGGAATGCTTATCTGTGGCCTATTTTATTCTTCATTTTATAATTTTTAAATGTACCCGAAATAGTTGTATTGCTTTTTATCTGTTACTCTTTATCTTAGAGAACATTATTTCTTATGTACCAAGAAAGGCCAAAATACAGCTTTATTTATTTTTGTATCTTTTTCTTTGCTGTGTGTATTTCTGTTTCAAATTTTAAAAATTAAGTTCATATCATAGAAGCTCTCTGATTTAACAAATGTGTTTTTTTTCCCTCTTGCTTTTAAAACTAGGTATCTGTTTCTCTTTCTTTTCTCTGCACTCACTTGTGTGTGTGTTCCTAGTCAAACAGGCATAAAAAAATTCTGGTAATATTTATTTTGTGAAAAGAATTGATTTAGGTATTCTTTTTGAGATTTTTGTTGAAGTATCCTTAAATTGTCTTAAGTAGTTTATGTATCTGATTTATAGCATTGTTACTGAGATTTATATACATAGACAGGATCTTCTTTTACCAGATGTTAGGATAGGAGTTTAGAGTTCTATTTTATGAATTACTAATGCTGAAATAATTTTATTGTAATTTAGAACTCAAGTTCTGGCAGAATGTTGTGTCAGAGGAATGATTAATTTTAAATTAGCTCTAGAAACATAATTTCTATGCACCTTCATGGGCACAAGTGCTACCATGACTTTATTTGTCAAGGCTGGCAAATAAAATTGGGGCATGTTCTGGTTTTATCTTGTGCTCAAATCTATTGTTTGAACCTAAACTGAAGCTTAAGAAGGCAGCAAAACTCCCAAGTTTATGCTCTTATGCTTGTGAAGGACATCACATGCCACCTCAATTCTGGCCAGCTCTAGTGGAGAAATCTTTGAACAGATTCTTTGCCATTTTTCTTTTTTTCTGTTTTCTTTTTCAGTGGTGAGGGGTTTGAGGACCTTGCACTAGGCAGGCATACTATTACTTGGGCCACTCCTCCAGTCCCCTCTTGGAACAAATTCTTAGAGATGCTGAAATACTCAGAAATGTTACAGTTGTTCTGACCCACAGAGGAAATAATTTAAGGTCCCTGGAGTCACTTGGCTTGATCCTGGCTCTTCCAGAATTCTGGCTTTATGACTGAGCAACCTGACCCCTTTAAACTTCAATGAAATTGATAAAATTACCTATCTTTTAGAGTTATCAGAATTGATAGCACATGTTAGAGTTCTGAGTCCTATACTTAATGAGCATCCTACAAAATTGGGGTTTTTTTTAACATTATTATTCTCAATATCATCTTGTGGTTCAAAATATCTTTTGTCTCTTATTTCCAGTTTTGATACAGTGGTAGGAACAAGGATCTTGCCAGTCACATTCTGTACTATGTAATGCCGTGCAGCTTTTATTTTTTTGCCTACTCTTGAACTCAAGGTGAATAGTACTTTAGATTAAAAATTTTGAGAGATTACACAGTAGGATATAGCTCCCTAAAGAACAACATTTTCTTTTTGTTTGTAGGCAAGCATAATCGCTTAATTGTTCTATTATTCTACCATTGTTACCTAATACCATTGTTGCCTAATTCTCTTACATCTGTCTGCATCTTAGTATATCTTATGTATTATTATGCTTTTCCATTACCCTCCTTCCCCAGCCAATCCTAAAACAGTTTTCTCTGGAGTACAGGTTCTGTAGTTTTGAGATTTACGTGTGGTATCTTCTTCCATATTTGGCTTTTAAAATGTATTTTATATTTTGGTGTTTCTCACTGATTTTAAAGGGCTACAGGGGAAGAATTGAAAGTGAAGGCATACCTACCAACAGGGAAACAATTTTTGGTAACCAAAAATGGTAAGAATTTTATCATAGTGTACATTAGTAAAGTTTGCACAGTTCCATTAAAAACAAAAAAAAATTTCCAGTTACTAATCCTTATTTGTGCGTAAAGTTGTGCTTAAGTTTTATATCAGAAATTTGGAAATGTAATGAAGCTCTGGGTTTTCTCTTCCTGGAGTGTTTTTCCTTTAGTGGATTTTTTTTTTCCCATATCTTCTATTTTGATACTTCTTTTTAGCAAAAAGAGCTAGTTGTCAAGATAGGGAGGAAATGGGCCATAATAGAAGTTAGATTTCTCCTAATTAGATTATTCTTAAAGTTGACTTCATAATCATAACCTTTTAGCTATTTGATTTTAATATTCTTTAGAGATTCTCATGAAAGATGAAATTTTCCTCTGACATGTAAAAGCTCAAAGCTAAAAATTTTATTATCCATTTTGCTATTTTAAAGAATTGCCTACAGACACAAAACATTTTATGAAACATATAATGTCTTCATAAATTTGAAGTTAATTTAGAAACGCAGCAAAACGTTGTGATAGTCCTTAAATAATCACAAAACAATGCATTTATTTGTGTTCTAGTTTGCCCCATGTAGGAAAAGGAAAATAATGGGTGAAGAAAGCAGGTTTTTCTTTCCTATAGTAAATTTATTTTTAGGGTGGATAATTTTATACCCTGATTGTTTAAAACACAATCAGGAGTTTAGTAGCATTTTGTATTTATCTTGTAATTGTTCAATTTTAGGCTTCTAGGTTAATAATACTTCTTAGTTGACATGTTTTCTTATATGAAAAATTTGACACCAGTGTTGCATAAGGGAGTAAAATTTAGATTGAATTGTAATCTATTTTAGCTATTGTGAATAACAAGAATTTAAATATAAATTATGAAATTCACATTGAAAACTACTTTAGCCTTGTAATCCAGATGTCACCTCTACCACCTGAGTATGACAGGTGGTACTTCCATGTTCTGAGAGTAAGGCCATTACTCATTCATTATCCTGAAATTGAACAATGTCATCTGGCTTCAGCCTGCTGTTCTTCTTGGACCGTAAAGGAATACAGAGAATGCTCCCACCAGAGACTTTATACTTGTCTTCTGACAAAGCAATTTAAGGAAAGATAGAGTGGTCAAATAATTATGTGTCTGTGGGATGAATGTAACTCTTAATTACTTTCATTAAAAGTGAGATACGTTCAGTTAATATCTTGATAGTATAAGTATATTTTATGGAATAAGATTTCTTTTTAATGGATTTATGGTTGCAGATTATGTACCAATGGTATTTGTCATTGTTTTATAGTGCCATGCTACAAAAGGTGCAAACAGATGGAGTATTCCGATGAATTGGAAGCTATCATTGAAGAAGATGATGGTGATGGCGGATGGGTAGATACATACCACAACACAGGTAAGAGGAGTGTAGGATGACATATATTTAGTTTGTTTTAAACTTTCATAATCTTTTGTAAGTCTTGATTAAAAAAGAGGAGAGATACCTAAGGCACAATTTTGCCCTGAAAGAAATAGAAGGACAAATTGGAAAAAAGAAGAAACAAGAAAGTCCTTGGAGTAGATCAGATTTTTGTAGTACCCACTGCTTCTGTTGCAATTTAAAATTATTCATACAATTTTCATTATTTCTAAATAAAGAAGGAAACATAAAACCAATAAAAAATACTGAATATGCAGACTGGCCACCACTACCCTAGCAAAGTTGACATAAAATTAACCATCACAATCCTTGAGTATTGTTACTTTTATTAGTCATTTGAGCTTCTTACTAATCATGTCTACTTTTTTTTTTTCCTAAAGAGTCAGGTTTATTGGGATATACCATATTACTGTATTTGGCAGTTCTGTGAAGTTCATTTTCTTTGTTTAATGCACAGAATTCAGTGAATCATTTTGTAATATCAACCTGATTTGTTAAGATTTGATTTTTGATGTGAGATAATTATACCTATTATTTGGTAATTTTAGCAAAATTAGTCTGAAGTAAAAGTTTTAAAGCTGTGATGTAGTGTAACTACTTTTGGATGTCCTAGACATCCAAAGTAAATAGTGTATTGAAGTAAATAGTGTATTAGTATAACAAGACCTAGGTGGTAAAGTTTTGATGTAAAGTTAGTTAATATTTAAATATGATCTATAATCTCTTAATCTGTTCACTAACATAGAATATATTGCAATAGAGATTCAAATAAGAAAGGTTATTGAGGAATAGTAAATGAGGTATAATAGAGTAGGATAATTCATTTAGGGTAAAATATTTATTTTACTGATTAAAAAAACCAATGGAAACACATTTTTTTCCCAGTTTAAGAGGTGCCTTTGGGAGTATTCCTATTAGAGTTCATTTGTAAAGAGTGTTAGTATTTGCCTCCCTACTTCAGAGAAGTTGTGAGAATTTAGATAATTTAAGTGTTTCTGTATTGCTTCATCAAAGTAAGTAGAATGTTTACAGCTTAATTTTAATTAATCTTTTCTGCTGAATTTTAAACAGGTATTACAGGAATAACTGAAGCAGTTAAGGAGATAACACTGGAAAGCAAGGTACTGGTTAATTAGTTACTTTTCTAAAGTCAGTGACCTGCTACTTGCATATATATAAATTCTAAGATCACCCATATCTCTTTTATCCAGACACTGTTTATTTATTATCAAATTCTTAAACTCCAACTATTTTTCCCCCTTCACTTTTCCACATTAATGAACTAAAATACTACTGCTTCTCAGTGCTGTAACATTTCCCTTATTTTTCTTAATTTTGTAGTATGGTTAAAACCATTTTTGGACTTGGGGGTGTATCTCAGTTATGCAGTGCTTATCTTGAATGCTGTAGGCTCTGGGTTTGATCCCCAGAATTATGAAAAAAACAAGAAAAAGGAAAAAGAAGACCATTTTTGAGAACTAACTAGTAACAAACTGCTAATTTAAGTATATTTAATAGGTGATTATATAAAGTATATTTGGGGGAGATTATCTACTTTGTTGATCAGTAGATGCTAATTCTATATTGATATTTAAATTTTGTAGTTTAAATATTGTAAGCAAATTTATCATTCTCTTTGTAGAAGGGTTTTGTTTGTGAAATTTTACACATATACTTCAGGTTAGCATCATCCAAAATCATGGCATTTTGATAAATCAGTTAAGTGTGGGGGGGCGGGAAGAGTAAAGTATATAATTTGGTGGAATTTTTTGCTTGTAAGTTTTCATTTAATTCAGGTTGTATGTATATTAGCTTTCCTTTTTTTTCAGAGGCAATGACTACAGTTGTCTTCATATATTCATGTAATTGCTTGAAATTTGAAAAAATAATACAAAATTCTTCACTCTTTTCATAATGTTTTTGTTGACTGTCAATTCTCTTAGAGGATAGAATATTTGAATGGAATACTTTTGGCTTCATTGACCTTAGTAAGCATTCCCTACAACAGTTAACCAATTTAAGGCATTTTTGGATGTTTTTTGTTATTGTATCTTATGGATTTGTAACTGAAACTTACAGAAAATATAAAAAAGTAAAATAAGTTTGTTTTTTTTTTTTTTCAGATTTTTAGGATTAAGATTTACTTCATTCACCTGGGAATTTGTCTTTTGTTTTTAATTTTACAAAATAATGGGTTTCATTACGATGTTTTTATACTTTCATACATATGTACAGTATGCTTTGATTGTATTTACCCCCATCATCTCTTATCTCTCTCTTTGTTTTGCTGATCCCTCCCACCTCCACATAGTCATTCTTTTACATGTTGTCTTTTTTGCTTATTTTTAAATCTATATATTCTGCATTTGAGAAAAAACATGCAATCTCTGCTATTTTGATTCTGGCTATTTTGCTTAATGTGATGTGCTCTACTTTCATTGATTTTCCTCCAAATGGCATAATTTCTTCATTCATTCATCCATTGATGACCACCTAGGTTAAGTCCATAATTTGACTGTTGTGAAGCATAGGTTTGTTGTGAAGCATGTTGTGAGCATAGGTTTGTAGGTATTTCTATTTTATGCTGACTTTGATTCTTTTGAGTTTATATCCAGGAGTAGTATAGCTGGGTCATAAGGTAGTTCTATTGTTGAGGGACCTCATTGTTGATTTCCATAGTGGTGAGACTGATTTGCTTTTCTACCAGCATTGTATAAGGGTTTCTCCCCACTCCCATCCTTGCCAGCATGTATTGTTGTTTGTTTCCTTGATAGCCATTCTGACTAGAGTGAGATGGAATCATAGTATAGTTTTGATTTGCATTTCCTTTATGCCTAAGAGAATAGAACATTTTTTTCTTGCATTTATTGTCCAGTTGTACTTATTTTAAGAACTATCTACTTAATTTATTTACCCTTTTACAGATTGGATTATTTGTTCTTTCGGTGTTTAATTTTTTTGAGTTCTTATGTATTCTGGTTATTAATCCCTTGTCAGATGATTAGCTGGCAAAGATTCTTCCCTTTTCCTTGATTCTGGTAATTGTTTCCTTTCTTATGCAATTTAAAATTCTTGGAATCTCATTTTGTTGATTCTTGTTCTTACTTCCTGAGCAATTAGAGTTATATTGAGAAGGTGTTACCTGTGTTTATATCTTGAAGTATTTTCACTGTTTAAAGTTTTTGGTCGTAATTACATTGAGGTTTTTGATCTATTTTGAGTTGATTTATGTTCGGGGTGAGAGATAGGAATCAAGTCAGTCTATTGTATGTAGATATCCAGATTTCCCAGCACTGTTTATTGAAGAGGCTGTCTTTTTCAAACATATGTTTTTGGCACCTTTGTCAGGAATCAGATGACTGTAATCACCTGGGCTTTTTCTGGGTTCTCTGTTCTATTTCATTGGTCTGTGTGTCTGTATTTGTGCCAGTCTCATGCTGTTGTTGTTACTATGACTCTGCAGTACAATGTGAAGTCAGGCATTGTGATACCTCTAGTATAGCTCTTTTTGCTCTGGGTTGCTGTAACTATTTGGGGTCTTTTGTTTCCACATGACTTTTAGGATTATTTCTGTGAAAAATGACATTTTGATGGGGATTGCATTGAATTTCTTGATCACATTCAGTAGTATAACCATTCCCTCAGTGTTAATTCTGTTGTTCATGGACATGGGCAGTCTCTCAGTCTCATAGTGATTTCTTCAGTTTCTTTTTTTAGTGTCTTATAGTTTTTATTTTAGAAGTTTTCACCTCCTTGGTTAAGCTTACTACTATGTATTTTTTTGAAGCTATTGTGATTCAGATTATGTTTCTGATTTCTTTCTTAGAATGTTTGTTGTTGGTATATAGGAAAAAAATTCTTTAAGTTATATAGCATACAAACTAACATGACTTTGAACTGATTTTCTTATACTAACAAATTGTTTAAAGATACGGTTTTGTTGAAATTGAATTGGCAACTACTTTTAAATGGATTAGATGACTGGTGTTCCATATGCCTCTAGTATTTTTCAGTCACAGTAATTATCATTTTCCTTTTAAAATTTGATTTACGTGTTTGTCATCCCCACTGGAATTCAAATTTCTTGAGGATGGGGACTGCCTTATTCTTATTTTTACCATGGTTAGTTAGTATTATGCTAGCAAATGGGTGTTCAGTTTTCAAACCAAATATAATTTAAGTACTGAACATACTTAAGTGACTTTAAATATAATTAATTTCAAAGGACAGTATAAAACTCCAGGATTGCTCAGCACTATGTGAAGAGGAGGAAGAGGAAGATGAAGGAGAAGCTGCAGACATGGAAGGTATTTGTGTTCCAGATCTGCTTTAATGTCATTAGAATATTGATTCTAGAATACTTGCAATTCATGTGGATTACAAATTCAGTTTCATTGAGCTTTACATTCTAACATTTAGCAGCTTAGAGAATATTTTGTTTATTTTAAATTTCAGGGCAAAACTTACATTGATCTTAGACTCCTCTGTGGAGCACAGTCTTCACAGCATTTTTTTCTACTGGAATAACTGTTAGTCATTTAATGCTAGATAGAGCTGCAAGACAGTGATTATTTCAGAGTAGAACAAGGTTTGCTGTAAACAAAGTGTTTTACATTATCTTTCTCCTTTTTGATAGTATCCTTGTCTGTTATGGCACATTATGGGATTTTGTGGTCTGGCATAGAAATTGTATATCAAGAAGGCTATAATGACGGGCACCAGTGGCTCATACCAATAATCCTGGCTACTTGAGAGGCTAAAATCAGGAGGATCACAGTTCAAGGACAGCCAGGGCAAATGATTTGCCATCTCCAAAATAATCAGAACAAAATGGTCTGGAAGTGTGGATCAAGCTACACAGCACCAGCTTTGCTAAACACAAAGCCCTGAGTTCAAACCCCAGTCCCATTTAAAAAAAAAAAAAAAAGGCATAAGTTATATCAGATTCTTTGACAGTTTAGATACAAGTGTACATGTCAACACATAGAAAGAGAGATAGCATGTGTTGAAAGTTGGAAAAATGAAAAGAGGGCAGACATTAGTGGCTGCAAAGCAACGAAATCCCCAAAATAGATAGGATTTGGGTCATGGTAATTTTATTTTGAAGCATGGAAGAGTAGAAGATGGTGCCAAGTAGAGTTGAAGCACCATATGGGCAAGTGATACTTGCTTTGTTTCCCAAATTATTTTCAAAGGATCATGAAATTTTGCAGTATGTCCATTCCTAAATTTTAGTGAGATTCTTGATCTTATTTCCATGGTAAACTGCTGCCCTTGAGGAAACCTGAATGAGTTAGTTGTAACCGTAATTGTTCATAGTATACTGCTCATTACACTTCTATGCTCGGGACTTCCATATCTGCCAACCCAGATCTATTCAACTCCAAATCTCCTTGGTCATTTTTATTTTCTGAATGTTTCACAGTTGATAGAAACTAAATTTCTTCTTTTATTGCACAAATACTGCTTCTGGGTTCTGTCTCTCAGTGGCATATTCAGTCTGAACTGGGGTGTGCTGGTGGAGAGAACCTATGACTAAACCATTGTTAAGAGCAGTGGCTGTAGGACTGCCTTAAATATCTGACAGCCTTTTAGTGTGTTTGCTACATTTCCTTACAATAAAAGCTAAAGAATTGCTATGTGTGGAACTTTGCACAAAAACATTATTGGCGATGTTTAATATAAAAGGTAATTTTCATGAGTTTATTCAATAAATATTTGTTGAGCAATACAGTATTGTTTCAGAGACTGTTCTTGGTGCTGGAGATAAAGCAACAGACATAATCTCTTTGAACTTATTCTAGTTAGGGGAGACAAATGGATAAAGCAAAATATATAGTGTGTTAGATGTTTATCAGTGTTAGGGGGAAATAAAGGAGAGAAGAGAATAGTGTATCTTGGGATAGAATGTTTCAATTTTTTGATAAATTGGTCAAGAAAAATCTGTTGAGATTATGCCTGGAAGGAGATGAGTGAGTAAATTATTTGGTTATCTGGGGAAGAGTGTGAAGGTTCTGAAGTAGGAGCATGTATGGCTGATATAAAATATTTCAAGGAGGATCCTGTCTCCAGATAGGAGTAAGAGGAGAGGTAATTAGGGGCTGGCCTGGTTAGGGGTCCTGACTAACTCTGTAAGAGAAAAAGCCATTGGAGGATTTTTCTAAGTAGAGGAGTAACATGATTTACATTTTGATAGACTGAATCATTGTGACTACAATGTTGAGACTAGATTGAAAGTGGGATAGACAACAGTTAGGAAGCTATTTTGATAATCTAGACAAATGATAGTGACTTAGGCTAGGGTTATAATATTGGTAATAATAAGAAACAGTAGAATTCTGAACTGTTTGAGGGTAGGGCCAAAGGGATATACTGCTGATCATGGGATGTGAAAGGCAGAATAGTTATGTGTGATATCAAGATTTTTACCCTGACTCTGGAAAGGTGCCGTTAACTGAGATGGGGAAAATTAAAAGTGATTAGCTTTGGAGAGGAAGTCAGGAGGCCATTTGTAGTGCTCATTAGTCATCTGGTGGAGCCATAAAATAAAGTTAGATATCCATGTCTATAAACAGGGAATTCATCAGTATTTAAGGCCATTGAGACTGATGAAATTACCCTTGGAGTCACCTTGGGTGACTTGTAGTCTCTTGGGTAGAGAAGAGGCAAGATGCAAGAATTGAGCACTTACTAAAGTTACTGCACTCTTCCTTCTTTCATTCCATCTTCCTTTACTCACTCCTTTGTTCCTTCTTCCTTTCCCTTCCTTCCTCTCATCCTCTCCTTTCATTCCTCTCCTCCTTCCCTCCCTCTCCTGTCCTTCACTTCCTCTCCTTCTCCCTTTTTCCCTTCCCTCCTCCCTCACTCTTTCCCTTCCTTCCTTCTTTGAACCAGCATAGGAGATATTGAAGGAATAGCCAGTGTGGTAGGAGGGAAGCAATATCTTAAATGCCAAAGAAAGAAACTGTTTCAAGGATGAGGGAATGAATTGTGCCAGATGTTCCTGGGTCCACTAAGATGAAAACTGGGAATTTACCACTGAATTCAACAAAATGAAATCGCTGATAACTTTAATTTCACTTTCTGTGATACCTGTGGTCAACTGCAGTCTGAAAATATTACATGGAAAATTACAGAAATATGAAAACTTTAAGTTTTAAATTGCATGACATTCTGAGTATCATGATGCTTACACTATCTCTATTCCATCCATGACAAGAATTATCCCTTTGTTCAGCCTATCTGTGCTATAGATGCTACCTGGCTGTTAGTCACTTAGGAGCCATCTCAGTTAATCAGATTGACTGTTATGGATACAAGTAGGGCTTGTGCTCAAGTAATCCTTATTTACTTAATAATGGCCCCAAAACACAAAAGTAGTGATACTAGCAATTAGAAAAGCTCCCTTTAAGTGAAAAGGTGAAAGATCTTGACTTGATAAAGAAAAGGAAATCATATTGCAGTTACTAAGATCTGCAGTGAGAACAAACCTGTCCATGGAATTGTGAAGAAGGAAAAAGAAGTTCATGTTAGTTTTACTGATGTATCTCAAACTGTAAAAGTCAAGGCCACATGGGGCCTGCTTAGTTCAGTTGTGAAAGGAATTAAATTATAGGACGCTATATTATTTGGTTTCAGGCATCCACTGAGGATCGTGAAATGTATCCCCCTCATTTAGATGGGGACTACTCTTTACCAATACCCTTGTATGCACTGTAGACTGTAGCGTAGACCATGCCGACTTTCTCTGGGCTTTTGTCATGGAAAGAATCTGCAGCTTTGGAAGTATGAAGTTAACTCATACCTATTTGGTGCCTTCAGTTAAAAACAAAAGCAAAATCCATTTTTGAATGATACTCTGAAGTAATACATAATTTGGCTTAGAGAATTTTCTGGAATTCAATCTTTTGTTCCTTTTTTAATAGAATATGAAGAGAGTGGATTGCTGGAAACAGACGAGGTTTGTAAATTTGAGTTTAAATTTTTAATGAACTTGAGAATTAGTATTCTTATTAATAACATTGATCTTTCAAAATAATTTTTATTTGTTTACATTAATCATAGCATCTAAAAATTTAGCCTTGGGCTTTAAGTTCATTTACTTTTATGAAAAAAATATATAGAATGGAAAAAATAGATTTTTCTAGAATGTTACATTCATACTGGTTTAATGACTGTGCATTTTTCTCCTTTACTATATACCAGGCTACCCTAGACACAAGAAAAATAGTAGAAGCTTGTAAAGCTAAAACTGATGCTGGAGGTGAAGATGCTATTTTGCAAACCAGAACTTATGACCTATACATCACTTATGATAAATATTACCAGACTCCTCGACTATGGTTGTTTGGCTACGATGAGGTAAAAATAAAGAGAAATATATTTCAGTGTAAACATTTTGAATTGTGGAGTTTGTTTGTTAGGTGCATAGGTTTGTACTTGTGATATTTCAAGTTTTAAAAAAGTCATTTATTTTATTACAATTTTATGATTAATAGTGAACTTGATTCTTACTTCTAATAGACTATGAATTCAATGTGACAGTAATACTACGAAACACAAGTGATCTGTTACATAGTTAATGTCTTTGTCTCTAAACTTATCCTTTCAAAATATGAATGAAATTGAGTTCTGTGCATTAAATTAGATTTTGTTTAGGATTGTATCTGTTGGATATGTAAACATTTATAGCATACATTTTTCCCTTAAGAAAATGTGAATTGAAGGAAAATTGAAATATGATACTTGTTTAACCTGTCATACTTATAACTATAAATGGGAAACAAGAAAACAAAAATGAGTGTTAACAGATTCTAAAGGTTTAAAATGTTTCAACAGGCACAAACTTGCTTTTTGTGGCATCTTTTCTGATGAGGTGGTGACTAATGTCACATGGCCTGGATATGCAGATTCCTCCCCCCTCCCTGCCTTGATCTAAATTATTAACTTTTTCCCCAAATAATCTGGTCATTCTAAATAGTCTGAAATTCTAAATTGCATGTGATGAAAACATTGAGATTTAGGCTGTTTTAAAATAGTAATTTTAAAGCATTTTTTATGCTTTCAGCAAAGGCAACCTTTAACAGTTGAGCACATGTATGAAGACATCAGTCAAGATCATGTGAAGAAAACAGTGACCATTGAAAATCACCCTCATCTCCCACCACCTCCTATGTGTTCAGTTCACCCATGCAGGTCTGTGTATATAGTGGGAGAGGGAGAGAGTGTGTTTCATGAGTTTATTATTTGGGAATCTGTAAACATAGTACTGTAACAGAAAAATTTACTTTAAAAGCAAAGAAAAATTCTTTCATCTTTCTTAGAAGTGTTCTTGTGCTTAAATATGTATTAGAAAAGAAAAAAGTCACCAGTTCATTTAAGTTTAGTACATAGAATTTTTCTGTTCTCTGTGTTTAGTTATAGAATAGATATTTTTGATCTTACTCCTCTTTTTAGCTCCCATAGTTTATATAGCTTGAAAGATCCCATTTTGTATTCATAAATACTTGTTATTTAGATAAGGTTTGCACTATTATGAATTGTACCTTTTTGTAAATGTGAAGTATAAAGTTAACCTTCTGTTTTTTTTAACGTCATAGTTATCTTCTCCTGTTGGTTAGTGAAAGGAGATATGAGTTTGTGTACTTTTTTATTGTTTAGGTCTTCAGTCTTACCAAATCAAGTGGTTTTTTTTTTCTTTTGTTTTGTTTTGGCTTTCAGTACTGGGAACCAGGGCCTCAACACATGCTAAAATGCTATACCCCTTGAACCACATCCCTAAGCCCTTTTGTTTATGTGTGTATGTATGTGTGTGTGTATATATATATATATATGTGTGTGTGTGTGTGTGTGTGTGTATATATATGTATGTATGTATATGTACATTTTTTTTTTCCAAGGTAGGATATCATTAAATTTGCCTGGATTTGCTTCAAACTCAAGATTGTACTGCCTCTGCCTCTTAATTAGCTGGGATTACAGTTATGCACCAACACACCTGCTCCATTTTATAATTTGGATTTTTTTTTTGTGTTAGTATGTTCTCACAGGCCAAATAAAATGAAGCTGAGCCTATATACATGTTTTGTTCAGAATTTTTCTTTGAGAAGTTACACACTAATTTAGTTATTTCCAATAACTTTTGTAATTTGTTACAAATATTGGTAACAGTAGTTTTATAAGTATGCTAATATTCCACTAAATAACATTTAATGCTAGATGCCAGCCTGGGCTACATAGCAACACAGAAAAAAACCCTTTACTAATCTTCCCATTTTCTGTAACCTCTTTATTCACAAACTCTACTCCATAGAAAGCCTACTTCACTTTTTGTGTTTATTTGTCAAGAACTTTTAATATTGCTGACTATGAAAAGTAATTCACTAGGAGTCATTGGTTTTTGTTTTTTCCTTTTTCTTCTCCCACGTGTCCATCCCCATTCACAATATAGACCAGGCACAGGGCTGGGCTGAGACATATATGAGTAGGTTACTCTGTTTCCTCAGTGCAACAGCATAGCCTGTGATATATCCCAGAAGGCCTAGTTTAAATTTTAAATTACCCAAAAAGTTTTGTTTTTTGAGAGTTAAGTTGTTGGGTCTGCTTATAGTTTGATATTTTAGGATGCTGCTTCTCAGAGGTGTGTCTCTTTCTGAGGTGTAAATTTTACTCAATTGAGGGGAAGAGATAACTGGTAATTAAATTAAATATTTTAATAAAATAAATGATTCTATAATAGAAAGGCTGAGGGCCTATAAAACGAAACTTCAAGGCTGTATTAGGCTTTTCATGGGCTGCCTCAGACTGTGCTAACACATGGGCTAATACAGTCACTCTTGTCTTCTGAGTGACTGTTTCTGTCATGAAGGATTTGTTTGTGAAAACTGAGTTCACATTATTTAAACCAGGGAATGTATGAAAGATTGTTTCTTTTGTACATTGCTATTTTCTTAGTTTATATGCTTAATTACTTGGCTATCACTCTTCTGTAGCATAGGAGGGACACCACTTTGTCTATGGATATAGTACACAAATATCTTCTTCAGATATGGCAAAAAATTCCTTTTAAATTGAATCTTTAAATTTGTACTACCTATTAACACAAAGAAAAAAATAAACTTCTTGACTGATTAATTAGCTTTTCTTGAACCCTTTCAGTTGTGGTTTATTGTCTACTAAATAAATATTTAAATATTCAAAATTACAGGCTTATAGATACCTCTACTTTTTTTGATCAACTCTTCCTACATAGCTTTTTTCGATTTGCATAGTCTTACTCATTTATGTTTGTCAGAGCAAATAGCCCTTGCTCCACATTTATCCTGTAGCACGATTTTCCCTTCTCCTTTTTCAGTCCCTAGAAAATGGCTGACTTAATGCCATTTTGTGACTACTATACTTTTTTAAAATTGCTCCTGGTTCTAAGAAAACTGTCTTCATGGCTCAACAATCTGACCTGAGGATCAGAGAGGATACTGTTATGTATTAAAACTGTTATACATTAAAAATTAATTCACTACCCACAAGGTAGGTTTCTTCACAAATGAAAATGTGCTTTTCCTATTTTCATCTAATTGACCCAGGCTGATAAGATTTGTCCTTTGTTTTAGGCATGCTGAAGTGATGAAGAAAATCATTGAGACTGTTGCGGAAGGAGGGGGAGAGCTTGGTGTTCATATGTATCCTTACTTCTGTATGATTGGTGGCAAAATGGCTCCTGGGATTTTTTGTTTATTTTGGAAATTTAGTATAACAAATACATCAAGATACAGTACTTGTAAATTGTAACTCCTCAGATCTGGAAGTCCTAGTGGGAGTCTGAAATTAATTTATGATATATTTTGTGAAAGGCAGGCCTTGTTCAGTTGATTAGAATATGTCCCTGTGTGTACTAGTTTGCTCTATCTACCTTGTTACAGAGGAAATCTACTTAGAATAATGAGTATTTTTTCTTTAAGTGTATTTCCCACTCAACATATTACCAAAAATGTGTTTTCTCATCAAGTAAAAGTAATGTTAGGTTGTGTCAATCTGACGTCTCTCAGAAGCAAAGAATTCAACTTAAACATGTAGGTTAATTAAAATTGTAAAGTATAAGAAGTGCTTTATATGTTTTTTAAAATGCAGCATTGTAATTTTCTCCAGTGAAAAGCATCTTTCTCATATCTTACTATAGTACTCCTACTCAGTTCTCCAGGGTTAACAAGAGGCGTAAATTAATATCCAAGTAAGCTGCTGGATCCTAACATAATGTATCCATATCATGGATTCATCAGAAGTATTCGTAGCCAGTTGAGATGCCAACAGCCTGAATTAATTTAATGCTAGGTTGATATTGGAGTTGGTGGTTTGTACCACTCACTCAGTGTTAGACATGGACTAAGAGGTTACCAATATCTTAAATAACCAAAGCATTGCTAATAATATATGTTCTTCAGAGGAACTTTGGTCTAATTTTGTATTGAAACAAACCAAGAACTTTCAATTCAAACTAGATTTATTCCTGAAATCTTATTATACCTAACTTTTGCATCCATCACTATGTTGGAGGATAGATAGCAGCTTGAAATTCTCTGTCTATTTTATAATAAAGTCATTGGTTTCTTAAGTTCTTAATGTTTCCGGTTACAAAAACAGGTAGAAAAAAATTTCAAGAAGACAGTAAATTCTGTGGCAGCCAGGTACATATATAACCTAGATTCAGTCCTTTATGAAGGGTTTCATTTAATTAATTATTTTCTCATTTTCTGCAGTGCTTTGCATACTCTTTATCCTGCTTCATTTTAAGTTCACATCATTTCCAGCAGACTTATAAGCAGTAAAGGCTCAAAGTGAATGAGTAAATTTTATACTTATTTAAATGTGGAGAATTTTGCCCTTATAAATGTCAAAGTAATTGGGCCTATGTGAACTACTCTTTAAGAAGTTTCATTCTTTTCGTGCACACGCTAAAGTTTTCTTCAGCTTATTATACCAATTTGACATAATTAAAGTTCACTTTTTAAAAAAAATTCTAGAATCAATGTGAAGTCAGTGTGAGAATTCAAGACAGTAGTATTACAGTAATAAAATAATGGATGAAGAGAATAGTATTAGAAAGTTAAGATACTGTATCCATTTACACAGTGATAGGAACTTTAATTAAAGGGATGACAATAAGATTTGAAAGTCCGGGACAGATATGAAATGTATTGCAAACTGATAAACTGAATATTTGATACAGGAAGGTATGAGTTAAATATTACTCCAAATTTTCAGTACTGTAAGAACTGTTCAGAGAACTCTGTAATGTAAAGATAACCTAGAGAAGGAACCGCTTTTATCACTAAACTGTATCAGCATTCCTAAAATGCATTATCACAATTTGCATAAAAGTATTTATAAATACATAACTTTTTCTGTGAGCAGTTATAATATAAATAAACCTCCAAATCTCCAAAAAGAAAAAAGTTTCAAAGTCAAATATTGGAATAAGCGGTCAGGTAGTCTTAAAGCTAGAGAGTCACAAGTTGAATGGATGCAAATTTGCATGGTTGAATTTCTTTAATAAACCCGATTTAAGATTTTGTCATATACTTTTTCTTATAAATTATTCATTTATCATTATTAAATTCATTATTAATTAAATGGTTAATTACAATGTAGGTTTAAAATATAAAACTATTTGCAAATCTTATTTTCCTTAGCTGAAAACCTTCAGGTATCTTCTAATTTTTTTGAAATTTGTACAAGCTGTCATTCCAACAATAGAATATGACTACACAAGACATTTCACAATGTAATGAAGAAAGCATAGAATCTATCCTAATTATTGGTTCTGATTTTTAAAGAATTAACCCATAGATGTGACCACTGACCATATTTACCAATATGTACAATTTCTCTAATAAAGGGAATTATATGTTTATGCATTAAATAAAAAAGTTCCACTACCAGCCTTATTTGTTTAATAAAAATGAGTGTGAAGAGATCATTTTCCTCACTTCTTATTAAAAGGTTATAATAGGATTTCCTGTAAATCACAATTATTTAAGGGAAGGATGAGTCTTATAGAATCATGGCAGAGTATTTTTGGTTTATATTTATGAAGAGTATTACGTATGTAATAATGCCAGAATTAGTACTAGAAAATATTGCATCCTAGATATTTTCCCTTCTTTTTCATTTTCATTCCTCTTGTTTTACCTTTCTTACCCTCTCCCAAAGTCTCCTGTCTGCTGATTGTATTTATGAAGTACTTACTGTATGCCAGGAAAAATTCTAAGTACTATGACTTGTTTCCTGATTTATTGAGTTGATACCATTGAAATTATTTTTTATTAAGGAGTCAGAAATATTTTACCTATCATAACTGCTGGTAGAATACTGGAATTTGAAGGAACCCATTTGTTGAATCATGTTAGTTTACAGATCTGGGTGTGGCTCTTTGTTTTACATTCTTTTTAAACCTCTACATTGCCTGTCATTCCTGTTCGTCCTAATCTGTACAAACTGGATTGGCTAATCTTCCCTCAAGAGGACTTTGTTGTGTTTGCTTTTTCCTCATTCAAGAATATTATTCTTACCTTTAATGCCTCTTTATTTCTCTCCCTTTTCTAGTTGTCCAGTTTTCATTTTATCTTCCATTCATTCACAGTGCTAGAGATTGAGTCCAGGACCTTGCCCATGCTAAGGAAGTATTCTGCCACTTGTGCTATACCCTCAACCCTTTAGTGTTTTCTTGAGACAGTGTCACCCTGTGGAGCTGAGGCTAAGCTTTTGCTCCTCCTGCCTCAGCCTCCCGAGTTCTGAAATTACAGGTTTTTGCCATTTTTTTCCTTCAGTATTGGAGATGGAACCCAAGATGGGCCTTGTGCTTGCTAGGTTAGCACTTTACACTTTACCTCTTCAGCTACAGCCCCAGCACTTTTTTTTGCGGGGGGCGGGTGGTGGGCAATACTGGTTAATGTGTTTTCAGGTAAGTTCTCACTAATTTTGCCTGGGCTGGCTTTGAATTCATGATCCTCCTGTCTTCATCTCCCAAGTAGCTGAGATTACAAGCTAATTCTTACATTACAAAGAAAACTCCATAATAAAGGTAGATTTAGTTTAAGTAATGTGGTATTTGTTTTGGTATAATATGAAGATTCAAAGGTATACATCATCTACTTCAAATATCCTATTTGGCCAATAGACATGCTAACCTCCTTAATTTAACTTTTTAAACTTATTTTACTAGAATATTTTACTTTTTGAATACTTCTAATGTAAATTGTCTTTAATATCAGTTGTTACCACATTGTCAGCATTTTTCTCCCCTTGTTACAAAAATAAAAATAGCCTCAATTCCCCACCTCTCACTTTGGTTAAGTAACTAGTCATTTATCCCAGTCACCACTAGGTGGCATTTTTTTTTTTTTTTTTTTTTGGTCAAACCTTTTAAGATTCAGATCTTTTTTCCAATTGAAATCTTTGTATGGATCCCTGATACATATACAGCGGTGGTTCTATTAGTTGTATAAATGAGTTTTGTGGGTTCAAATTTATACCACTCATCGAGAATGTGTTCTGATTAGTGAAATTTTGATGAGCTTAAAATTGAAATTTATCTAATCCTGTAAGTGTTTATATCCAACTTAAATTGTAGTTTCATGGTATTTTTAAAACATCTAACTTACATGAGTAATAGAAATGATAATGATTTTTAACTTTATTTTTGAATAATTTTACATTTACAGAACAGTTCCAAAGGTAGCACAGAATCCTACATACTCTTCACCCAGGTTCCTCTAATTAATATCTTAAATAACCATGGTATACTGTAACCAAAATCAAGAAATTAACATTTGCATAATACTGTTAAGTACATATGTTAGATTTCCCTAGTTTCTCCAGTAATGTTTTCCTGTTCTGGAATCCAAACTATGCTACTGCATTGCACTCAGTTTGTCATGTGTCTTAGTCTTCCTGACTGTTACATTATCTGTATCTTTTTATGTCTCATGACCTTGATGCTTTTTTTTGTACTGGGATTTTGAATTCAGGGCTTTGTACTTGCTGGGCAAGTGCTCTACCACTTGTGCCATACCCTCTGGTCTCTTTTTTTTTTTGTTTTGCTTTAGTTTATTTCTCAAGTAGGGTCTTATATTTTGCCTAGAGCCAGCCTTGAACTGTGATTCCTTCCAATCTTCACCACCTGAGTTGTTGGAATGGTGTGACCATTCCTGGCTGGTCCTTGATATTTTTAGAGTATGGTCAGAAATTTTGCACAGTATTCCTCAATTAGGGTTTCATATTTTCTCATAGCTAGCCTGAGTTTATGAATCTTGGAGAATAAAGTAGCAATGTGCTCATCTTTGCATTATGTCAGTCAGTACCTAGTTAAGGTGTCTGCTAGTTCTTGTATGTTGTTAGAAGTGAGTTTCTAAGTACATAGAATTTTATAGCCTCAAGGAAAGAGGAATTAATCATTGCTTCTTGGAGAAAGAAGAATTAACGCATGTATGTTCTGTGTTAAAACCACTGTTGTAATTAGTAAACTTTGGGAGAGATTCTTTGAGCTACCAAAATACCTAGTTTTTGGCTACTCTAGTTTCTTTGCCTTTCCATGTAAATTTTAGGATCAACTTGTATATACAAAAAGACTTGGTAGGATTTCAATTGGAAGTGCCTTGAGTCTGTCAACTAAGGGAGAATTGACCTCTTAATAAGATTGAGTATTCAAATTTTTGAATTTGGTATGTCTCCCCATTTATTTTGATTTCTTTCATACTGTACGTATTTTGTTAGATTTATACTTAAGTACTTTGTGGGTTCTTTTTTTGGTACTATAATACCTTTTTTAAAAATTCAAATTATTCCTTACATATAGTACTAGAAAAAAATAGAATTGACTTTCATATACTGACTGATCATGTATCCTGCAACCTTTCTAAGGTCATTTTAAATTCTAGTAATGTATTACAGATCCTAGATTTTTGTACATAGACAATTACATCACATGCAAATAACACAGTTTTACTTTCTTATCTGTTTTTTCTTGCCTCATTGAACTGTCTAGAAACTGTTGAGTAGGAGTGATGAGATGGGATGTCTTTGCCTTGCTCCTTGTCTTTGAGAGAGCAGTTTCTCACTATAAAAAAGAATGTCAGCTGTAAATTTCTGTAAGTGCCCTTTGTGGAGGGTTATCAAAAATGTTGAATTTTTCTACATTTATTGAGGTGATGATATGGGTGTTTTTTAATTTCATCTTCTAATTTGGTGAATTACATTGGTAATTGAGCCTGCCTTGTATTCCTTGGATGAATCCCTTATTTTTGTACATTGTTTGAATTCAGTTTTCTAAAACTGTATTGATGATTTTTTACATCTGTGCTCACTGGGGATATTGGCCTGTGCTTTTCTTCTAATACCTCTGTTGATTTTGGTTTTTGGGTAACACTAGTTTCATAATATGAGTTAGGGAGTTCTTCTCTTTTATTTTCTGCAGGGGTTGTATAGAATTAAAATTTTTGTCAGTGAAAGCATCAGAGCCTGGTTATTTATTGAAAGTTTTAAAATAGAACTTACTCTATAAAAGACACTTTCTTCTTGGGTGAAATTGTCTATTTGTGTCTTTTGAAGGGATTTGTCTCTAATGGGGATTAAAGGGAGACATTCTAGTGGAGTTTCTGCCCCTCATGTCCAGCCACCATTCCCCTCTCCCAGGTCTGTGCCACAATGGACAATCCCTGGTACATTTCTTATCTTTTCTGTGAATACCAGCTACTTAATGGAGGAAGAGACTGAAAAAGGATGTGAACTCCCCAAATTATCTTCAGAATAGTTTCTAACTTACGCACTCACTCTGCCTATACCAGTTTGTCAGCTATTCCAGCTGAACCACCCCAGATGGGTTTGTGTTGCTTCTCTTCCCATAGGCGAAATTTTGAACCAGTTAATTCTTCTGTAATCTCAGGATTCCTATACATTTGCATAAAGTCTTGACTATGATGTTCTCTCTCTCTTTTTTTTTTTTTCTGCAAGGGTAAAAACTGCACTTTCTCCAGCTTTCTGTAAGAAGTCTATTCTTAGGTGGAGGGGGTGGATTCAAGTATGATATATTTGATACATTGTAAGAACCTTTGTAAATGCCACAATGTACCCTTGCCCAGCACAACAATAAAGGGGAAAAAAATATACTATTCAGTTAAGATAAATGGTGGAAGAATATTCTGCCCTCTGTACATACATAATTTAATCTGGGAGAATAAGATGACATGCCTATACTAACCATTTGCTATATAACATTTTGATGTTTACATTTTCTTAGCAGTGAAAGATTGTAAAAAATGTAATTCAAATAATGATTTTGAGGGCTCCCATAACACCCTGTAAAACTTACTTGTCTAAAGAACGCATAATTCATTTGTAGGATTTGGGCTTCTATTTTAAAAGAGGAGCGACAACTGAGCAACTTAATGCTAAGGTGTCCTAGAAACTATTAGGAGTAACAAGCCTACAGTAGGAATCTTGCCACAAGCATGAGCTCACGTAAGTTGACTTTCATAGGTAAAATTTATTACATGCTAAACTGTAGAAGGGAAGATATTTTACATTTATAATTTATGTTTCCTACTTCTAGACATTGAAAAGAGCATGGTAAATCTGCCCCAATTGTAGTTGATATTAAGTCCAAACTCCTGTGAAGGGTAAAATTATAAACTTTAAAAGAAAATGTGGGAAATGTAGGAAAATATCTTGTGATCATGGATGTAAAAGCTCTCCCTCTAAAAAAAATGAATGTGATTATGCTAAAATGATTTATTTTTTTAAAAGACACTGGATAAATTTAATAGACAAATGGCAGTTTGAGAGACATCATTAAAAAAACATCCCAATTGGTGGGATGTTAGTTAATGTGTTGCTATGAAAAATTACTCCAAAGTGCAGTGACCTAAAACAATAACGAGTTTGGGAGTGGCCTAGTGTGTGTCTGGGTCAGGTTCTCAT